AAAAAAAAAAAACTCGCAAGTGTAAATTATAAACGCAGTAATGAAGTGAACGCGCGTACGCGAACAATAAGAAATAAATTCAACCCAAAGAAAGTTCCTGTACAGGAATCTCCCCCCTAAAAAAAAAAGAGCTCATCGAAGACGATTATCATTAGTCAATACCTCCCAGTGCTCTTAATTACCTTCATTCCCGGGGAAAACAAAAAAAAAACCAATCTCGCGTCGGTCCCACATCAGTTTGCCGTTTTCTCGTTTACGTGTATACACGCGTACAAGAAAAAGATATACATATATTTCCCAAGTGGTCACTGTTCCACATATCCGCCTATGACGGTCCGGCGTGCAGATACACAATGTTATTAGTTTGCAATATATAACTACAGTGGAGAGTATAGGAGGAGGTACGTGCACACGAGTAGAGATTTTCACTTTTCCACCACGGGTAACTGCTATTACAACGACTATCCGACCTTGGGATTATTACGTGTCGAGAATACCACACGTTCCGCAGATGGGTTTTGTTCGAGGGGCCGCGACAATGGGACGTGTACACCGAGACCATGTAGCCAATGCCAGCCCTCGTTTCGACTTTTTATACCCACGTATCCGGACGCATGATTGATTAACAGCTGATCATTATTGGCAATCGTAGTACTTGCGTGGTGTGCAAAGAAAAAAAAAATAAGATTCCAGTCGTTCATCAAAATTACAGGCTGAATCGAGCCGCGCGCGTGATTGATTGTGTTTTGATACACAAGTTCATCGAGCTTCTGAAAAACGTTTCTTTCGCAACGATACAGCAGTGCGCGGAGGGGTTGGGAAGGGGGGACCCGCAAAAAAAAAAAAAAAAAAAAAAAACTTGCGCAAACCTCAAAACTTGAGCGAAAGTCCGGATTCGCGAAACGAATTGGGGGCTCTTTGATGTTTCTCTCTTTTTCAGTACGAGCTCGGGAATTCGAGACGACGCTTGACACTTTGTTCAAAAATAAGAACCGCACGTGTGTACAGAAAAAAGGGAGTAGCGCTTTATTCCCTTAAAAACCGAATATCCTCTTACGTCACGATGCAATATAGAGATGCATCCGACGACACGTGGCGTAATTTGCACGCGCACCTCGGTATATGTAATTAGAGCAGATTTTCGGGCTTGCTCGTAACGCACGTATATATATATAGTATGTGCGACGATGATATGACGATGAGGATGAAAGTTCTGGCGCGAGAGATTTCTCTCAAAAAATGCCCTCTCCCGTTGCGTTGCATCCTGATGCACGTGACAGGTTGCACGTACATATGTATAGACAGGCCGATTCTCGATTTCCTTATACTTTTTGCCCTCTTTCTCTTTCTCTCCCTTCGACGGTACGGTGCTGCAGCTTTTTTTGCTTCGTTTGTTGTTAATGGTTGTATGATAATTAGCCACCGGCTACTCGCGCTGAATTTCATCCGTATCATATTTTATATAAGTATACGTACCTATACGTGACGATCGGTCAAAATTTCGTCATGCACATATATATATTTATGCGGACGATCCAGATCCAGATCTTGGATGAAAATCCACGCATTGGTATAAATATATGTAAGTGTACGCTTCGCGGGTCTACGATCTGTCGGAGTCATTGACAGTGGCGCTACAACTGTATACATGTGGGTGTGTATAAATACACGCACCCATATAAGCGCGTGTACCTGTTTTGTTTTTCCCAAATGACACGAGTGACAAGCAATGTGTCAGTCTCCCCTTGAAAAATATACGAGTTTTTTTGCTCGTGCGCGTGTGTGTACTTGTACACTTGTACAACGGATACGCCAACCCTATACCTATAGGCCGTGTATCTGTGTACCTATACGCGCTTTACCGGTTTTTTACACATTGCGCGCGCGTGCCTCGAGTGCATAAGTTTCCGCGTCTGGTATGCGTGCGCCGATACAGCTCTCGAGGAAAATTACGGCGAAAGGAGCCCACCGCAGCCGGCTATTTTTCTTTCACTTCTCCGTATATTTATATATACACGTACGTGCAGTGTCCGTCTCTATAAGCACGTTTTTTTTTTTTTTTTCGGCACCCCATACACACTCACAAATGTACGGTACAGCTTTGAAAATCGGTTGATCCGATCGGTTTGCTGGTGCGCAACAAGCCAAGAACGGAAGATCGGACGCATTGGAGGTTCGAGATTGTACGCGTATACGAGTGTATTCCATAGCAGCAGTCCCGATGGCGATAGCATTTCGATCGTCCGGGCTTTCTTCCGATTTTCAGGCTTTTACCGATTTACACGTACCGACGAAAGCTTTTTCTTTTTTCCTTCAAAAAGCTCGACAGGTGTATCTTTATATAGGCACACGCATCAACGATCCGTCGTGGGGGAAAAAAAAAAAAAAAAAAAGATCGGTCCCTCGCATGCACAAGTGAATCGTCGAACCCGCGCGCGGAAGCGCATCGAGAATTTAAGTACACGGTTGCAGAACCAGCGAGCTGTCACCACTCCGTGTACTTGTGCACGAACAGCTATTTCGCCAGGTGTCGAAAGTCGAGCGAGCTCTGCACACGCGGTGTGGCAATTTTCGCGCGGAGGACCAAAAAGAGAGACTCGCCCACACGCGCGCGCGCACATACACCGATAACCTTGCTACGTAACCTTGCGCGTGAACTTCGCCGGCTGTCTTTCTTTTCCCCCGGACGGCAGCCGGTCCGTCCTGTTCTCGATCACTTTCTCTCTCTCTCTCTCCCCTGATGGCTGCTTGCACGAGCCGAGACAGATATATATATATACCTACGTTTACGTACTTATACCTATTATCTTCCCGTCTCTTTCACTTTTCGTCCCGATCCTTTATTCCCGTCAACTTCCGATTTTCGGCTCACTAGCTTTCCCGCACAGTACTCATACATATAATATACCTATATCGGTATGGACCATGCACAGATCGGTTGATTCCAAAGCTATATATGAATGGGCGACAGGTTTTCTCTAGAGAGTAAAACAATGTCTCCGATGGATGTATACCCGTGTGGTTGCAATGGCTGTGGAAGAGCGGCTTTGTTTACGGGGATCGGTATACATTGCCGATCGATCGCCGATGTCGGGGATCTCCCTCTCTCTCCTGTATGCTAATAAGATTTTTAACAGAATAGAGAGACATGTTTTGTTTTTTTTAGTTTGTTTTTGTGCACGCGTCTCTATAGGGTCTATGAACCATTCGTACCGATCTGAGGAGGCTTATGAGGAAAGGGAAAGTGCGACGGACGCTGGCCGATGATTTCAGCTACTTATACTACTGGTTTACGATGGATTTTTTTTTAATTCCTTTTCCATTAACTTGCGCTTGTTTTCACGAACGAGTTGGCGAGTTATCGCCGCCACCTGCCAGATGATGAGCTACTTGTCATTTTACGAACCGTATAAGGGTAAATACGTATATATACGGCAATCGCTCGCAACGCGTCCGCGATTTTACAAAAGTTACGGTGCTAGTTACAACCGCACGTGCGAAACTACGTATACCTCGGGTACTTGACAGCGCAGTTTCGTCAATCTTAATACATATTATGTTCTCAAAATTGTTGTACCCGCGTACTTCCTGGAAGTTATTCTCGAAAGTTTATTTCATCTCGGGAAGACAAAGCTTTCTCGGTACGGATGAGTGCCGATCTTACAGGGCTCTCGAAATATCAATGAACCTTCCCTGCGAAACGAGACGGGGAAAACCCGAACCCTCCACTTTTCGCGACTATATATACTTACGCATCACGGAATCGACGTAAGCTATATACCCACCTAACGGTTAATTAACGCGAAAGAGAGAGAGAGATAGCTGTCAAATAAACATCAATTATATACATTATACATACACGATACGCATACATATTTTTGCATACAGCTGCACGGTGCGGGGAAAGGAGATAATATTATACTTTGCGAGCGCGAGTTTGTTTACGAGATGCTACCGCTCGACGCGCGGAAAGGCGCGCCGTCATAACGAGCCCGATTTATTTGCCAAGCTAAAGTTCGACGTATCGGGGAATATAGCTCCTTTGTATATATATATAACGTTCGTGTGGCGCATCGCATGTAATATATAGATTTTTTTTTTTTTTTTTATATTCATCATCGCCCCTTGAGGGCTCAGACACGGCTATTTTGACACTATAAAGTGTATTTAGCCATACGTTGGGTTTTAATAACAGTAGGGGGAAACGGTAGATAGATCGGTAGGTTTATTGAAGTACAAATCTCATCGAGAAAAAAACCTCATTCATTGATGAAATTTTTGTCCAGAGTGGGATTTGAACCCCGGCCATCAAGATCTGTAGGCAGACACGCTACCGACAGAGCCATCATGTGGCTCCTAATATATAGATACACAATAAAGAATTCACCAGGGCAATGGGGCTAATACGTGTATGAGAATTCTCGAGAAGGTTTTGCGTGTAATGGGAGTAACGCTCTCACTCTCGCGCATCGGCAGCGCTAGACAGACATTCGCGTGCAGGTATTCGTGCATGCTCTCCTCGAATAAGAAAGTAAGTGCTCTAGTGGATGGTGGTGGTGGTGCTCGGCGAAAGGAACGAAAGGACAGAAAGAGACGGGAGCGCCACACCGTGATCCTGGGGACAGGTGGGAGGAGAGGGAAGCTTTTGCACGTATACCCGCGTCGGAACCGAGGGGACTCTCGCTGATGGATCTCTCTCTGCAGGGGGGGGACCCCAAGCGTGTATAACACAATTGTGCACAAGGGAGAGGGGGGAGAGATCGCGGTTTTTCGGGGGCGCCATCGGCGAGTGTCCACGATAGAGGGGGTGTACGTGGCTATAAAAGCCGGGCGTTCCGGCTTATTGGCCGAAGTTCAAGTCCGCGCTTTCCCGCGACCGAGGGGGATAAAGCGCATCACGCACAGCAGCCACCACTGCGTATACACATACATACATAGGCGCGGGTCGAGCCGAAGGGGGCCCCTGGGGCTTAGCAGTGTCGTTGGGCCCGCAATTACAACCTGTTTCCAACGACTGGACACCCTCGAGCATGAGGTTGCGCCCCGGATGGCCGGTTAGTTGCATTCATTTACCACCACCACCGTTTAGGGCTACTTGCCCATATTTATGTATCATTATATTTATACGCTCGGAGATTCGTGAGTATGTATAACAGATATTTCATTCGTGACAGTGCGCGGTAAACTATAACAGTGTGTTGCAGATGGCTTTTCTTTTATTGTCTCCAAACGTCCAATTTTCATGTATTTTACGCAATACATACTCTATACTGTACATTTTCATTTCCTTACCTGTGATTTCGTCGATCGGCAAAAAGTGCAAAATATATATACTTTTTTTTTTTTTTTTTTTTTTATTTATCGCCATTGCAGGTGAATCCTTTGCAACACGCTTATTGTTTACTGTGCGAAAAATCAGTGAATTTCGATTGGGGACGCGAAACAAAGTGCATTAAAAAAGTTATCCACCAAAATTCGACATATATAGTTTTATCGGATTACAACCGATTTTTAATAATTGTAACAATTTTCCGATATGGCGTAATTTTTGGTATTTTAGTATAAACATGACTTGACCGATATATATATATTTTACTGATTATCTTGCACAACATGGTATTATAATTTATATTTATTATAATATTAGACAAGCTGCAATCGGGAGATCGGTAGTATAGATATACACAGGTATCATTACTAAATTAAATTAACCGAGCGCGTGAATTAACTATACTATACTAGTGTTAATCTGAGCCTCCGATCGACAATCATCACTATATCTCGCTATCTTTTCATTCATTTATTATTATAATGCGTACATCCGATGTATAACGTCAATTAAAATTATCCGCATTTCCGAGCACGCGGTCGATGCGTTCGGCGGTGTATTGTACCAACACTCGCATATAATATCATCTCTGCACCGCTATCCGCATCATCTCGATCCGATAATATTGTTTATTCCCCGCATTGTATTATAATTTTACAGCAATTAATTCAATCCCACGAAATTACACGGCTGTCGTTATACAACCATTCCATTAAACTCATTCATCGAACCAGCCTTTACTCGTAACGACTTTGCCCCACTATTGGTACATTACATATTAAAAAAAAATTATAGTAATTTGATCCTCCTGACTGTATATTTTTTTCAATAGAATTCTTTCATATACGTAGTGGAATTGCAATTAATTTAACCAGTTTCGGTATTCAAATACACATCGAGCCAAAAGGTCTCGTAAATAAACGTACAACTCAGGTTGGGACAAAAAAAGAGTTTCCTTGACCCCCCCAACAATCCATTCCGCCCTTATGGCCAATTTATTTTTTACATCTTATACCTATACTAACACATACCCGGTATTTAATTATCGGTGCAACTGAGGTGTGTCCCAACGGGAAAAAAAAAACTTCCTTCCAGACGCATCGAGCGCAGCCCAATGCCCCAGTTCCGATCTCAATTTCCATAATCAACGCAGATCGGATAAACAACGTCTAATAGAACACACGCCGTATCGCGTTCAAAAATCTTTCACTCGATCGACTAGTTTGCCGATCTGCTCCGCATTAACGGGCTCTCGACGCACCCGTATACACACACACATGTACGAGTGTAATCTATACGTAGCGTACAAATGTCACTTTCTTGCACTTTCTCGCGAGCGACAGTGGAGTCTCTTGGACGCGAAAAAGTGGAGCGGGTTACGCGAGAGGCGCAGCTTTTTGTATATACATACGCTTCTTTTTTTTTTTTTTTTTTTTTTTTTTTTTCTTTACACATGTCCATACCTAACGTAGAGCAACGTATAATCTCTCGCGTGTGCTCGTCGATCGAGAAAGTTCACCGAGCTCGTGTACATTAACATAATATATAAATTCAACGTGGACACGCGTGCGTACAATATATATATATATATATATATATAATATACACGCATCACTGGTATAAATTATATATATACACGAATCGGCGAAAATCGGCAATTATCGGCTTTAGTTATTATACACTATATTGTTACATGAAATTTGCTTTTCAGGCCGCTTTAGCGTTACCGCTACTGCAGGTCGTGCTAGTGGCGAGCAAGGCATTGGACCAGAAGCAGCTGCTACCGATACAACAACAGCAACAACAGATCCCGTAAGGATATACATACATGTATATACATATAGATATATAATACATATAGGATACTTGGCTCGCGCGCTTTTTCATCTCACTTTCAGCTTTGACGACCCGCTAATTGCTCGAAAGCGCGGAGGTACATCGCTACCGGTTACCGGGTGTACATGTATATACCTAGCCGCGGTGCAATTAGCTCGGGAGCACCGTACGGCTCTCTATATATTATATGGACGACAACAAACACGCGCACTCTCGTTTTTCTTCTTTTCACGGCTCTCGAGCGACACGTACATGTATACTTATATATATAAGTGGCTCTTTTGCGGTTCACTTCTCTCTCTCTCTCTCTCGGTCACTCTCGTTTTCTTTTTTTTTTTTTTTTTTTTTTTTTTTTTTTTTTTTTCCCCGACACGCTTGGGTATACACGTGTACACACTATCTGCGGTTTTGATTAATTGAAACAACGAGCCGAATGATCACCTATACATACCTATCGCTGCAGGAGAGCCTGCAGTGACAGCAGTTACTGCCGTTCCTATACTTACCTGATGTGTATTTATGTGCATGGAAGCGCAATTAACGTGAAATCGCTATACTCACGCTGCTACCGCTCGCGGAGCCTTTTCGACTAACTAGGTGGCACAATGCGGCTGGTCGCGCGATTTTCTTAATTGCCAACTTGTCTTGTATACCCGTGACTTTGTTTTTTTTTTTTTTTAACCGCGTGCGTGTCGTTAAATTGGCTCTGTACCCGGGTGTGCGCGCGTATCGTTGCAATTGCGTGGAAAGAAAGAAAAAAAAAGTCCTATGGTTAACACTTTATTATACTCAGTAACGATTAAATTCGGTATTCGTTGTGTTTGCAGAGTTAACGCGCAAGCAGCTCAGAAACGAGTGGGATACGGAGGAGGAGGAGGTGACTTCGGGGGTGGCGGTGGTGGCTTCGGGGGTGGAGGCTACGACGGTGGTGGCCACGGAGGTGGCATCAGCGACTTTGGAGGTGGCGACCACCACGGAGGTGGAGGAGGAGGAGGTGGCTTCGGCGGTGGAGGTGGGGGAGGCTACGGAGGCGGCGACGACCATCACGGGGGTGGCGGTGGTGGAGGCTTCGGAGCCAGTAACTTCGGGGGTGGTTTCGGGGGTGGAGGTGACCTCGGGGGTGGGGGCTACGGAGCCGGTGACGACCATCACGGGGGTGGAGGAGGCGGCGGCTTTGGGGGTGGTGGTGGCTACGGAGGCGGTGGCGATCACCACGGAGGTGGTGGAGGAGGCGGCGGTATAAGCGACTTTGGAGGTGGTGACCATCATGGAGGCGGTGGTGGAGGCGATTTCGGGGGCGGCCATGGAGGTGGTGGCAGCGACTTTGGTGGCTATCCTCCATCCGGGGTACCTGACGGAGGCGGTGGCCACGACTTTGGCGGCTACGGAGGTGGTGGTGGCGGCGGCGGTGATGAGCATCATGACCACCATCACGAGAAAGGTAATTCAAGTTTTTTTGTTCTATATGTATATTCATATCAAATGAATACGTGAAATGTACATGTGGTGTGAAATGTACAAATGTACATTAGTAATCGGGGCTAATATTTGGCATTTGGAGCATGCAGCCAACCGTACCCAATGTAATAATAGAATTTGTATATTGCTCGATGGCTAAAATCTATAGCATATAGATGGACGAGTGGTTGTATGCTCCGATTGTTTGACGTGGCCTATAGTTTTTCCTTTTTAGAAGTAACAATTTAATATTGGCTAATCGAGCAATGGTTTGAATGTGGAAAAAAAAAACATAGGATACTGGAAGAAGAAGCTGATATGGAAGCCCGGCTGGAAGAAGGTCTGGAAGTCGGCCAAGAAGCAGATCTGGAAGCCCGCCTGGAAGAAGATTTGGAAGCCCGAGTGGGTGCCATCGAAGAAAGCCATCTGGAAGGACATACAAGTGCCAGCCTGGAAAAAAGTGTGGAAGCCAGTGTGGAAGGAGATAAAGGTCCCGGCTTGGAAGGAAATCCAAGTGCCGGCCTGGAAGAAGGTGTACAAGCCGATCTGGGTGCCGACGAAGGTCCCCGCTTGGAAGGACATCCAAGTGCCCGACTGGAAAAAGGTGTACAAACCGATCTGGGTGCCTATAAAGGTGGCCGCCTGGAAGGAGATCCAGGTGCCCGCGTGGAAGAAGATCTGGATCCCCGAGTGGATAAAGGTCGGCATACCGGGCGAGAAGCACCTCGGGACCGACGACCACGGCTGGGAGTACACCAGCCACGATCTCTGGAAGAAGAAACTGATCTGGAAGCCCCTGTGGAAGAAAATCTGGAAGCCCGCGAAGAAACAGATTTGGGTCGAAGACAAGAAGCTCGAGTGGAAGGAGGAGTGGAAGCAGATATGGAAGCCCGCGAAGAAGCAAATCTGGGTGGAGGACAAGAAGCTGGCCTGGAAGGAGGAGTGGAAGCAAATCTGGAAACCCGCGAAGAAGCAGATCTGGGTGCCGGACAAGAAGCTCGAGTGGAAGGAGGACTGGAAGCAAATATGGAAGACGGAGCAGAAGCAGGAGTGGGTCGAGGACAAGAAGCTGGTGTGGAAGGAGGCGTGGAAGGAGATACAGGTGCCGGACTGGAAGGAGATCTGGCTGCCCGATTGGAAGAAGATCTGGAAGCCGGTCTGGATATCCGAGTGGTTCCCCATCGACGACCACCACGAGGCTCACCACGACAGCGGCTGGAAGGACCGCAAGGACACGAGCGCTCAATCGTCCCAGGTACAACCCGTTGCAGTTGCCGCCCAACAGAAACTACCCTCGGCACAGCAGACTCAGGCTGTCCAACCGGTCAGGTGGGACAGGTCGTTCCAGGCCTCGGCCGTGGCCGGGTCGGTGTCGGCGGTGGCGGCCTCTGCAGCAGCCCTACCCTCGATAACCCAAGACCTCGTGCCACCGCCGCTCAACCAGCCGGCCGGCCAGCGCTTCAGTTTCCCCAGTCGTTAACTCCCCGCTAAATAAGTACGACGAACCACTTATTGCCTACTTATTATTCCTGCCGATGGACGTCCGAGAGTCGCTGTAATTCATAACACCGCTGTTATTCTAGGTATGTACGCGACCGACGGAGTTTGTACAAAATTATCATCGAGATCTGTATTCCTTATGATCATCATATTGTATTGATAATTATAATTATTATTATTATTATTATTTTTTTTTTTTTTTTTTTATACGCTGTGTATGATAATTAAGCCGCTGTACATATTAATTGTTAAGCTGATGTGTGTATCTAAACGGGGAGCCGGTGACGAGCTCCCGGTCTCTTTGTATCTATTATATCGTGTAAAAACTCGACTGAAGGGCCCTTCTTCCCTTTATCTATTTTGTACTGTTTATTTTTACAATTACTCCTTCCTCTGTCTCTATATACATCGTAGGTACACATTTGATACATTTGTGCCTCTCCGATTTTTTCTCACTCTCTTTGTCTCCTTCACGATACTTTCAGCGAGCACTTCACACCACTACCAATTATTGATTATTGTATTTTTTTTATACCTCTCGTGTTTTGCAATCGTGTGCGAAAAAAAAACAATGTTTTTTTTTTTTTCATACATACTCGCGCCCACAAAAGCGTTGTTACATGTTGTCCAACTTATTTGTTAATTAATGCTATCGAATAAAGTTGATTAATTTTTTGTTAAATCTACCGCCTTTCAATTACAACCACCCAACTCCTTATATGACACGTATCCCTCAAATCCTAAACGTAAAAGTATAGTATCACAAATTAAGTACTCGTCTCAAAGAGAATTGCTTAAAAATAGTTATGACGTCAATTCGACAAAAACCACGGTTACGAATGTACACATGCTATTATGTGCTCTTACAGTGTAAATATACAAAAGGAATCCATAAAATGTGTAGTTTGCACATTTGCTACCACACAACAGCGGGTTACAGATGTATACATAATATTACGTAAACAGAAATCCCCCGGACGTGCGTGCAATTGTATTCCGAAGAAGAGCGTGTCCCTCGCTCTCGAAAAGGCAAGTGCCAAAAGAAATTAATAGAATTCGAAAGTCTTGCGCAACCCAACGCCCGCATTTCGGGGACAGTAGCGTGTAGGCCAACACTTCCCCACCACACCGATTCATGACGCAAGCGAACGTGCAAAAAAAAAAAAAAAAAAAAAAATAGCAAACAAGTAAGTATAACATACGAGTGTATACATTCGGAATAAAGACTCTCTTTTCTCCGAGTGGGTAGGTACGTTGCATGTACACGCGGGCACACGAGTCAAGTGTATACAGGGGAAAAAAAAAAAAAAAAAGGAGCAAAAGACGGACGGTTGCGTCGCGCGCGCGATATATATATATATATGTTTGTATACACAATATGATACGCGCGAGCGAGGGAAAGCTGCCCGTCGCGGAAACCGAATCGCGGGAGAAAGCCGTCCCTCGGCTCGTGTGATAATAACAATAAAGCAAAACAACACGACGGGGGAGAGCAAAAAAAAAAAAAAAAAAAAAAAAAAAAAATCAAGGAGCGACAAGAGGGGGGCACCTACGCCGTAGACTCGGGTGTCTATAAATTAATTCGCGCGGAGGTGGAGATGAAATCGTCGCCCGCGGAGTTTTGCCGAGCTAGCTTGACTTTGTTCTTTTTTTTTTTTTTTTTCTACTTGGCTTCATATATACACGCGAGAGAGGATGATGGAGGTGTGTATTTGATACGTGGGGAGAGTTAAAAGAATCAAATTGTACACAAGTGTATTCATGGCGTGGATGATCGGAGACCCATTGGTTGTTGCACGAAAATAGACTCGAGCACCGATACTGTTTTTTTTTTTCGCTCTTTTTTTATGCTAAAAAGATTTTTATATGGTTATACATAGTGGTTAATAAAATATTTTTCCAGCAAATACAATGCAGAAAAAATTTTTTTCGGTATACTGTACAGTGAATATTGTGATGATTAATTTTTTCGGCAAAAATAATGCACTTGATTCAAGAAAAAAACAAGTTTTTTTTTTCCAAGTGCTAAAATACTTGCGCCAAAGTCTGTCCATACGAATAAAGACGGTTATTACTAATTTTTTTTTTTAATTTTAAAACACATCACAATAAAATACGGGATTCGAGAATGTAGCGCAATAAAAATTAACGTAATAAATGTTGTTTTTTTTTTCCAGATAATATGTAAGAACAGAAATTTTATCACACATTGAAGAAACTCATGCAGTCTGGTATAATGAATAATGGTAATAAAAAATTAATAGCACAAATTTTTTTAAAGTAATTAATTATGCGCACCTGTGCAAATAGTAGTTCTAAAAAATTTTCGAGTCAATAGTTTTTTTTTTTTTTTTTTTTTTTTTCTGGAATCGTTTCAAGAATGAACGATCGAATTAAATCCAATGTCAAGTACACGTGTACAATTAATTCGCAATTGAAAACTGAAAACGCGTGTCCTCAATTCCCCAATAAAATGTAACAAGCAGGCGCGATACGAGCGTTTTTAGAAAATACTCCACCTTGGAATCACGTGTGAAAGTATACGAAATAACAAAGTCTTATCCATACGGTATATATTGTACGCAATTACTTCCGTACAGCTAAATTATACGGATAATACGACGCATTGAGAGATACATGTACATTATTTCAGGCTCTATTTATTTATATTGCCCTGTGTATCGTACATACGCGCATGTACTATTTGATTTGCGAGAAAAATTTACGTACGTATACGTTTGAAAGAAAATTGAACGCATTATCCCGTACAATGTCTGTGGGAAGTAAAAACTCGCTGCTGCAAGTCGGTGTGTATTATTGGACTGTAACGCTCAATTATCGGCCAAGTCGCTAACTTGTGATACAAAGTGTTGGTTGCGTGTGATACATCGAGCTTCGAGACGTGATTAACACTTTTCCTTATTTTTTTTTATTTTTTTTTTTTTTTTTTTTTTTTGCTCAACGTAATCTGAACTTGTCGGAGCTACGCCTTTGATTACCATGTCCAACCAATCTATCGGTAGTTTTAAAACCGACAGGTTCAAGAGATGCATAAGATATAAATATAAAAATCCGGTGCAGAGAGGCCAAGTGGAGCTTGTACGTACACGGTATATGTAACTCACGTGTACCCTCCTCCCGAAATGATTAATCGCGGGGCTTTGGTCATTTATCCGCGACGACTGATAAATCAACGCGCCGCTTCGTTCGGCTCCTACTTTTTTTTTTTTTTTTTCATCTCGTGATTAAAAATTTAATCAATACAACCAAGATCTTCCCCTCGGGGGGGTTTTTTTTTCCTCCGGTGCCAAAATTATAATCCATTACGTACGGCGCGAGGAGTTTTTACTCTCGAAAAAGATTTTTCACGCCTCCCCTTCTCTCGCGTATGCGCGGGTAATTTATTCGGCACGGATGGGAATTTATATGCAGGCATACCTTTCGTTCGACACGTGTTTCTTTCTCTCTTTTTTGTTCTTTTTGAAGAGCGTAAAAATTATGACCCGCCGTTCGCGCGAATAAAAAAGTGAGCCACCACAACGTTTTGTAAACATTTATGGGTGGAAAAAAAAAAAAATTCACTCGGTTTTAATCATCGATTCGCTACTTGCGGGTAAGTGCATCGTTTCCTATACATGTGCACGTGTGTGCACAGATGCGCGAGTATAAGAAAAGGAGGCGCTTCCGTTACACGGATTTCCGAGATGCTTTTCCGGGAAACTGTCTCTCCATCTCTCTTGAAGCGTGCAAACCCCGGGACCGATGATATAATTATACGCGACTGCACGTCAGGATGTACGACTATTTTTAATCATCACTCGCGAACGTGTACTTCATCATAATACATGCACACGGGAGGTGTATATATAGGCTTTGGATTTGGTTATTATACGGTGTGGCGTTTTACGTAAACCCACAACGAGGTTTGTCGGGGAAACGATACATCTTTCCATTATGCATTTACTTGGCGGTAACAGGACGCGTAGACGCGATGGTTTTTACATCATTTTTCTTATACGTACGCGCATTAAAATTTCTTTTTCCTTTTTACAAAAAAAGAATGTCAGTTTGTCTCCTAATTCTGTCACAAATAATAATATAAAATACGAGCGTTGACGCGCGCTACATCAACAATAACGAAAGAGAGAAGGCGAGGTCGAAGAAACGCGAGAGATCTAATCTGTGCTTGAATATTTGAAGATTTGACACATTGTGTTCGTCCCGTTTTTTGTTAACCACAATGTAAAATGACATTTAAATGAAAGGGGCGATGCACGTTACATATAGGTACAACTTGTTATGTAAAATCATCGAAGAAAAGAAAAATGCGAAAAGCCAAGATAACAGCTTCCATACGCGTTTCATTCAATCGTGGTGATCTTTTGTCCCCCATAGGTATATAAAAATGTGGCCACGAAGACGCGAGCCTCGCCACTCGTGTAGGCCCCACCGACCATGATACTGGCGCTCTTGTGCTGCCTCCTCGTCCTGCTCCTCTACGGTTACCAAAGCTGCGCGAAACCGAGAAACTTTCCACCAGGTGTGAGCATACATCAGAGTAAATATAGATGTACCGGCGAAGCAGTAAAAAAAAAAAAACAAACAAACGGTGTTGCAGGCCCGCGATGGTACCCCCTTGTGGGTTGTCTCCCGCTGTTCGAGAGACTGAGGAGGGAGTCGGGCTACGTGCACCTGAGCTTCCTCGCGCTGTCTGCGAGGCACGGCCCGGTCCTCGGGCTGAAGCTCGGCAAGCAAAAGTTCGTGGTCGTCCACACGGCCGAGCTCGTGAAAAGGGCCCTCCTCAGGGACGAGTTCAACGGCCGGCCCAACGGCTTCTTCTTCAAGACTCGGGCCTTTGGCAAGGACCTAGGTAAGCGTTAATCTGTATGTATATATATATATGTGTGTGGATTATATGATAGGCGTGGACGCGCGCAGGTATTCTCTTCACGGAGGGCCCCCAGTGGGCCCAGCACCGTAGGTTCACGATGCGCCACCTGAGGGGCTTCGGGTACGGCACGAGGGCCATGGCCGAGCTGCTCCGCGCCGAGGTGGACGAGTTCATCGGTCACTTGGTCGGGTGGAGCGCGAGAGGGCCGGTGCCGATGCACGGGGTGTTCGACGTGCCGACCTTGAACACCTTGTGGGCCATGTTCGCGGGGCATAGGTTTGACTACGAGGACGCGAAACTACGGAGGATCCTCGAAGTGGTGCACGAGGTGTTTCGGCTGAACGACACCCTGGGGGGCAAATTGTCGGAGATGCCGTGGCTGAGGTGGCTGGCGCCGGGGCTGTCGGGCTACAGGGACCTCGTGGCCCAGTTGAGGCTCATGTGGGGCTTTTTGGACGAGGAGATAGCAGAGCACGAGCGGAGCCTGCCGGCTTGTGGCCAGCCGCGGGATCTCATCGACGCGTTTCTGATGGAAATCGAGAAGCGCGCGGGTCCGGCGCCAACCGGGGCACACATATTCGATCGTGAGTCCCAGTGGGGGGTTGTTCGAGCTGGACCGAGAGAAAAAGGGGGCGTGTGTAAGGTTGCGTTTGGTTTACAGGGGAGAATTTGCTGATACTGTGCTTCGATCTCTTCCTCGCTGGCTCGAAGACGACGACCGATTCTCTGGCTACGATCTTTTGCTTCCTCGGGGCTAACCTCGAGTGGCTGGAGTACTGCAGGGCCGAGCTCGACGTGGTCGTCGGACGGGACAGGGTGCCCGCGGTGGCTGACATGCCGGCTTTGCCGAGAAACCAAGCTTTCGTTGCCGAAGTCAGTGCTTTGGTGGTCGATTTTTTTTTTTTTTTTTTTTTTTTTTTTTTTTTATCATGTGCGCGGGTTTCCTTGGATTTTCGTTTTTAATTTATCGAATTTCCTGCTTAAAAAAACGTTGATTTGACTCTTTGTACGTGTTCAGTGCAGTCAGACTTGGGCACAATTATTGTTTTATGGATTTTTAAATGCTTTCAACCAATTTTTTTTTTTTTTTTTTGTTTTTCCCTAAAATTACGTATTAGAATTCAAAAGAGTCATTTCAATTTTTATTTCTTTTAAATACTTTACGACAAAATTTCACAAACATAAAATACATTGTACTCATTTGTATAAAAAAAAAAACAAAAGTATCAAATACTGTGTTATAAGTAAAAACAAAAAAAAACTAAGCATACACAATGCATTGTATTAAAAAAAAAAAAAAATTGGAAAAAGTATTCGTGCCCAAGTCTGAATAAAGTTTGTTGAGATTTCAGGTGCAGAGAAGGGTCACGATGAGCCCACTGGGGATAACGCACAAGGCGACCAAGGATACGATGTTCGAGGGGCACTTTATCCCGAAGGTAAATGATTGATTGTCGCGATGGAGCACGTAAAAATTGACCCCATAAAAACTCCCACAGGACACGAACATCGTATTGAACTTGTACTCCTACAACATGGACCCGGTTATCTGGAAAAACCCCAAAAAGTTCGACCCAGGGAGGTTTTTGAACGAAAAGGGAGAATTCTTGCACTCCAACCCGGCCATTCCGTACGGACTCGGTGAGAGAGAAAGATGATTTGCCATTTTTTTTGTTTTATCTCCTCAAATGGTACACTTTATCCGTATGGTTTGAAAACACTGTTATACCGCTTACAGGAAAACGACGATGTATCGGGGAAGGAATGGCCCGGCAGTCGCTCTTTTTGTTCTTTGTCAGTGTGATCCACCACTTTGACTTGGACGTTTCCGAGGAACACGGCGTACCCAACCAGAACGGCGAGGATGGCTTCGTCGTCGCCCCCAAACCTTTTTATCTAAAGCTCACGCCGCGGACCAGATGATGCGTCGCAATTTTCATGAACATACATCGCTTTTTTCGTTGTAAAATGTAATAATCGAGCTTTGAAACGCTTGCACGCCCTTTTATACAAACCCTAAATTTACCAAAAAAATTAATAATCATCAAGTACGCAAGTAAAACTCCACACTTTTTCTCGTAAAGTCATCATTTGTTGTAAAATATTACGCGTATAGCGTCCGAGAAAATCGTCGCATGTAAAAACAAAATATGAAAAATTGTAATCAAGCATATATCCTTTATTATATTTCATAGTTGTTGTTACAAGAGTTTATCGATCCACATCATCCCTCGACAAAAATCTTGATGTAAACCGTGCACTCGTCAAGCAAAATGATTTAACAAAACATAGACTCGTAAGCAATACTCCGCATATATATAATTATGTATATCCTCAAAGACACTCCAATGAACGATTTAACGAGAGAAAGGAGGGACCAAAATAACGTCGACACCCACGTAGACAATACACGTGTGATTCACAAAATAATGTTCTAGTCCAAGGTCCTCGGGACGAGGAGGACGTCAAAGGGTTTGGCCGACATGGTCATGCCGGGCTTGACTTGGAGACTCGGTGGCTCCTGCCCCGGCACCGGCACCAACTCGTAACGCTGCATTATCCCCACGAAGATGAGAAACACCGCCGACTTTGCCAACGACACCCCCGGACACTGGCGCTTACCTAAAAAAAAAAACAAACAAATTTCTCATTATTTTATTTTATTTTTTCTCGTTACCCACGTTTTGTCCACATTATATTGCACAAGCGCGTTCTCCCCGACCTTTCCCGAAGAAGAGCAGGTTGTCGTCCTTCCTCCGCAGCCCGTTGTCGAGGAAGCGCTCGGGCCGGAAGGCCCGCGGCTCGGGGTACAGGCCGGGGTCGTGGTTGATCGAGTGCAAGTTGATGAGGACGACGGTCTCGCGCGGCACGTCGTAACCGAGGAGCACCGTGTCCCGGAGCACCCGCCTCGGACCGATCACCGGGACCACGGGCACCAGGCGCTGGCTCTCCAGTATCACCGCCTCCGCGTAGGCCATCCTAAGACATTGCAACGATGCACCAATAAATTCATATACGCGAGAGGAAGCACCGAATCATGCACAGCATATGTATATACGTATATACCTCTCGGAAGAAGAAAGTTCGCGGGTTGCCGCCCATCGTACTTTTATCTCTTCCAAGAGCTATCGTGTATATACATAATATACTCGTGCGCTTTTACTCTCTCGCCTACATATATTGTATATACTTGTACATGAGCATTATATGTATGGTTACATGTACATACACGTGTAATAATCGGCAAACGCGATTTCCCACGCGTGATGCCGGTGGCGAAGGACCCCGTGTGTGTATGGGACGTATAGTATAATACATCTCGCGGTACACGTTTTGATTTGTGCCGCTGATAAAACACGCTTATACGGACTCGCGGCGTCGAAAAGCTTATATTATAGTTTATATGGAAGTCACGACTGTACATACGTGTATGACGGATGGTTTTTTTTTTTCTTTTTTTTTTTTTTTTACCATATACCTACCGAGCTGGTGTTTTCCGGAAATTTGAAAAGCATCTGATAAGAGGATGCTATTAGAAATTTGTGTTTGTGTGATATTTACACGTTTTATTTTGGGCAGAAGACTCGGATGTACGCTACAGGTAAGTACCGTCACTTTGGGGTGAATTTTTCTTGATGAATGAAAGCATAATCCAACAGTTGATGAATGTTTATGTGCATAAATATAATTGATTATACTTTGGCCTGTCGTTGAGGTCGGGCAGCTTATCTCGGCCGATCACCCGATCGATCTCCTCGTGCAGCTTCCTCTGGGCGTCACGATTGATCAGCATGTTCAGGAACAAAAACTCCAACGTCAGCGCCGTTATGTTAAGCCCCGCCAGTAGCACGTCCAACAATATTATGACCAACTGATCGTCTGCGAAAAACAACCGTGTCATTATATTACGTTGCACGTGTACAGGTATAAGCTATTATGTTGTTTTGGCTCGCAATTACAAAAGGACTTGCGCATCATGTACGTTACTCTCGGGAGGACCGATCGATCGGTAATACGTTTTACGGAGGCATGTCTTTCGAATGGAGCTGTCGGATTGACGAGTGTGTATACATATACACACATGTTATTATTTGGGAGAATCGATTGTTGCGTATACATACGTACACGTTTACTCGTACTGCCACATACACGCGTTTTATATAACTTTTTCGAGGTATAGGTATTTATTGGAGCAACGGGGAATTGAAATCAAGGTGGATGAATATAATAATAGTACATATGGAAGGGGGGGGGGTGGGGAAGAACAATGATTGGGTATGTACCGTCGAAGCCAGCCTCGGGGCCCTTTCCGCCGTACATCTCGTTGAGGAACATGTCGATGAGATCGGCCTCGCTGCCGAGCACGTGGTTTTTCTTGTGACTGTCGATCGTCTCCTGTATAAAATCGGAAGAAAACAAAAAGCATTATAATTCAAACGTATACACGACGATACCAACAACAATAGGTGTATATGTGTAATAGTCCTGGGAGCTCACCATGAGGATGGCTTTGAATTCGCTGTTGACGGTAACTAGGAGGTTGTAGCCCGACCATTCGGGCGCTATGTACCGTAGCCAAGGGTAAGCCGCCAGTACGCCGCCCGACATGTCGAAGGCTTGCGCTCTTCTGTCCATCAAATTGGTGAAGTGCTTCAATCTGACCGAATATCGATGGATCGTTAAACGATTTATTTCATCACATTGATGTTTTTTTACCCGATTTAGGAGAGAAATTGGGATTATTGAGTGAATAGATGAGTACACAGGAAATGACTAATTCGGGGTGAAAGTAGACCATTCATTGAACGTAATGAAAAAAAAAAAAAAAAAAACTTTTTAAAAAAAAGAGCAGGGCCCGAGGGTCCTTTCCTGTTTGGTTGGGTGATTGGTTGTGAATATTTTTCTCTTGCCAAGGATTCAAAGAAAAAAAAAAGAAAAAAAAAAAAGCCCGAGGTAAGAAAAATAATCTATTGGTAGTTTATTTATACATTTTGAAGCTGAACCAAAGTAGGTGCACAAATCGTGACGAGCATAGAAAGAAATTTTTTTGGTTTTATCCGTACACAAACAAATAGTAGATACTTGGGCATTAATTACTACGTGCAACTGTCCCAAAAAAGACAAAAATAAGTAGGTACGGTCACATGGTATAAATGATCGGTTATAAATAATAATAAAAATTATATCACACGCACGGTGCGTGAGAAGATAATATTATGTCATTTTTGAACATGACAAACAAAGGCCACGTGGTAGATATATTCAATTGTTTTTCTTATTTTTATACATACGTTGTAATAAAATGAGAGAACATTTTTAATAGCCTCTTTATATTAGTGTGGATATTTTAAGGTAATACATTCAATTTGGAAAACTTTCGATGATATTGAGCGTTAAATGTTAATTGTTTGTTTTGTTCTCAACAGCACTAAAAATATGGTACAAAAACATTATTACGTCAAAAATATTACGCCGGAAGCATGGCGTGATGCCTATAGGTTTTATCGTCAAATGTTGAACAAAGTATCACTAATCGAGAAAAGACAACTAAATCGAAAATTGATATTCTATTTCACCATTTTTATCACATCGAATGATTTTTTTATCCAACCGAAGGTGTGACATTTGTTTCGAGACAATTGAAACTTTCTTTTTATTGAAGTCACATAATCATTATTTTATCCACCCTCGTTGTTTTACGTCTTTTTTTTTGCTTTTGTTAAAAAATGGTAAATTCAACAGAACTGGCTCATATAAAAACATTTCTGACATATTTAGTATTCCAGTGCGATTGACGGCAATGTCAAATAAACGTTCCTACCTTTCCTCGTCGAACCGATTGCCGGTCGCGAAGGTCCAGAGAACGTTGATGATAGCCGGCACTATGACCGGCTTGATTCGCCTCACACCGCCGTCCCCGATGTTCTGAAGTACTTCGGTCAGCTCGTGTTTGATGAAGTCCGACATCTCGCGCTTCGCGAATCCTACCGATCTCATGCTTCGCACGAACCAGCCCCGGATCTCCCGCCAATCGGGCCCGTCGTTCATCGTTATACCTTCAAGTGCAGATATATATGACGTATGCGAAATATCATTAGATATCCAGAACAAACTAAAATTGGTTATCAAAAGTCTCTGTAGACGCATGCGGTTTTTTGACCCATTGCTAGAACATTAGTTTTTTTTTTTCCTTTAAAAACTAATGCTTACACAAAAAAGATTTTTTTTTTTTTTTTTGTTCCTTCTTTGCATTGTCTTTTGTATAAGAAAACTAATGTACGAGCGATTGAGTAAGCATTTTTGAAGATTTCCACTCGAGCGATAATCGATTCAGTCTGTCAAAAGAGTATCTATATTGCGATGGATAAAAATAGTACTTGATTTTAGGTTTTTTGGTACGAAAAAAAAAAAAAAAATGGAACTTTTGCGTTGTATTACCATTTCAACACCTGTTGAGGTACATTATTAAAATTTGCATGATTTCATTAATTTCTGAAACGAAAAAATTTTTATCTCAGGCAAAGAAAACAGTATCTAGCGAAATCGATAAAAAGAATACGTAATCAGTATTTGGTTTTAAATACGGAAAACAAAAGAACTTTTGCGTTGTATGACTGTTCCGACGCCTGTTGACGTACGATAGCGAATTTTAATAATTTAAAATCATTTAAGTATGATGTAAGATTTTTTTTAAACTGATCATTTATGAGAAAAGTTGGGATTATCGATATAATCATTAAAATCTTCATAATTTGAATGAAATTAGTATTGATTTATGAAAAAATCATTGGAACATCACTGGAACTTCCATTAGCCTCAATTGTCGTCAGACCGAGTAGTTGTTTTTTTTTTTCCACTATTTTACAAATTTGATCGGTTAGCCTGATAACATTCGATATACACATAAGATTTTATCGAAGGCCGGCACAAGTAGGTATACCTTTCTTCTTTCCCATGTTGCGCAACTGGACAAAGTAATTCCAGGGCCTGCCATCATAATCTTCGGAGCTGAGAACAGCGTGTATGCACTCGATCCCCGACACGACGATCGTATCGCTACGCCCGCCCAGTTTGAGTCTCAGAACCGGACTCCCGTACCGCCGGCTCAACTCGAGAAGGGCCTCGTGCTGACCACCCAATTTTTGGCTCAAGCCCCTTAGTAGCTTCACGTTACCCACGAATGGCCACTGGTATGGTCCTGAAACACGCGCGTGCCCCGCCCATTGGACAGGGGATTATGTTACCGTGCATATAGATAATACACAAGGGACATGTTTTTACAATTTTTTCCAAGAAGTTTTTGGTGAAAGTTACCGTCACCCTAAGTATATCCCGCAGGATGGCATAGCTGAGAAAAATCTCGGGTGCGTTTTCCTCTTGTTTTCGAAAAACAATAAATGTTATAGACCACTCATTGGAAAAAAAATTTACAACTGAGATATATTCCATCGATACTATGTTTAAAAACGGTGGGTTTAATTGTTTCGAGATCGAGTCGAATTCATTTTTTTGTATGGCCGTTAAATGGTAAAAATAGGCCAAAATGTCATTACTTTCATGCGTTTTAGTCCCATGAAGCCTAGTTTTGACGTTTTTGAACTGCGCGAGATAAATAATTTTTTCAACTCTTGGGTACTTGATCTATACCATTTTGTAGTCCAGTGAACGAGTATACCATGTAAAATTTTCACTAGGGGCTTCAGAATTGCCAAAAAAGTGCTTTTTGGGATTTTTTTTGAAAATTCAATTTAAATTAACGTGGATTTTAGAAAAATGGCCATAGAGCAGGGTCCAAAAGTTTCCAGTTAGTTTTGGCCTTGCGTGAGGTAGAAAAAAATAGTGAATAAATTCTGAACACGGAATGTCTCAAAATATCGCAGTTTTTTTGTGAAAATGATCAAATTACGGAGTCTTAATTTCGAAATGACATTCATCAAGTACAGATAGAACAGCTGGATGAATAATACCAGCAAGTTTGAATCTTTGTTTGACTCATAAATACGTGACTCATAGATAATTTCTGAACCTAAAAACAATTTTTACTAGTCAAGGTATATTTGTATATAAAACAAATTGTTTACACTTATTTTTAAGAAAAAATTATTCAGCGTCGATTGAGCGGCTATTCAAGTGTTACTCAAAAATGCTGTTATTTTATCGGCTTTAACAAGAGGCCAAGAGAATTACTGCCGATCAAAAATTGATAAAAGGAATTTTCGATAAAAATAAAATTATGATCACGCGTATCTTAAACTTTTTTATTTCCATTTGAAGGTTCTAATTACACATGATACTACGTATCTCAAATGTTTTGTGCCTAAGTTTAAAATCTCCATTTCATGTAAATTACTCAAATGTGATACATTTATGGAGTACAACAATGACATAATTTTACAGCGTTATTATTTAAAGAGATTTCAATAGTTGTAATTATAATACTTTAAATTTGTAAAAACCCTTGTTTATACTCCCTCGCGAGCACGAATTATCGCGAGTCGCGTGCCAATTGGGTAAATACACTATTGATGATAAATACGCATCTTGTCGAATAAAAATTGCATCCGTGAACAATAACGGCAACTCATCGAGTCTCGAGGCGCTCAATTACTCGCGTCACGCTCCTTCGATCGAAAATTAGGATTGGCACTCATCGACGGGTTAATCACAGCTCGCGCGTTGGCAGAGAAAAAAAAAAAAAAAGCCTACCGAAAAAATAAAGAACGTGCACGTGTTCTCGAGCACGCCCGTCTCTCTAATTTAGAATGGGTATCGCGCGAGCTATTTTCAGAGGGTGAAAAAAAAGGCGTCACGTGTCTCTATCTCTTTTCAATCATGTCGATTTCCATCAGCTGTGGGGATGATTTTTTTTTTTCTTTTTCTATGCACGATAGTTTTCCGAATGGCTTTATTGTTTTGCGTCTTTCAAAATTACGTGTAAAACCATATTCATCTCGATTCTCTCGTTTTACAACTCGTAAGGGAATTGCATAATAGAGCGAAATCTTATTTTGTTGTGATTTACCATTTAGGTGAGTCTAAGATGAATATTTTAATTTAAGCAAAAGAAAAAAAAAAACGGAAAAACGTCACACGATCGACCAAACAGTTAATCAAGAGTTTAAAAAGTCAATTGGTACTTGATAAATTCAACTTACCTGGTGGTAGCCTTCTGTAGCGCGATTTTTGTAATTTGAACCCTATTGTTGCTAAAACGATCGCAACAAGGAGTAACCCAAGTTCGACGGATACCATTTCGCCGATTTATTCGTTTTGTCTCGAAAACAAAAAAATGAAATTTTCATGCAAACACAAAAGCCCTAAATATCAATTTACAAGCAATTTAAACTAATCGACACACGTGCAGCAGTTGATGTAGGCGAACTGCGCTTACACGTTTCAGTCAATCTGTAGCTTAACGGTTACTCGCGGAGAATCCTCGAAAAAAGTTCCAGAAGCTAAGTAGCGAAGCTTTCGATCAGTCCAACGTCCAACGGCATTATGCATCTTGACAACTTTTTCTTTTTTTCTTATCTAATTTCTGAAACTCGTTAGTGTCAAAAACTCAATCCCCAGTCGTTCAAATGAAACATGACAAATTTCCCAACTCCGATTCTCATAGTCGCGCTCCACTACTATACTTTTGACGACGATGGAAGTATGTGTACACTTATTACTATTCTTCTCGTATATTAGCCTGAATTGACTCGGTTGCGTAAAATTTGCTCGCACATGCGACCGCCCGCTCACACTTTACGTTACTTGCATGTGTTAAACTATTAGGTATATATTGTGTCCCCCTGCCCCTGCAAATTTTCTGAACTCCCTCCTCGAGAGAGACTCTCGACGAGCTGGCGCCGCCACGCCGTTAGATTACGAACTAAGACTGCAACGCATAACGCTTGAACATATTGAGAAAATAGCTTCAGCGTGAATGGAATTTCAGTGAAAAGCTACCCCCTAGTCCTGAATGATCGTGTGTTTGAAATAAAGAGCAGTTTATTTTTTACTTGTCTCGTCTCTCCTTTATGTTTTTAATTTTCAAAGATTTGTATGTATGTACAAAACTGTAGAAATTCGTGCTAAGAATTATGGCGGAATATTTATATACAATGCAAGTGTACGTTCAAAGCTATCAATCTGAATCGATTTCGTCCGCCTTCCTTTTCCTCTTGATCTTTCCGCTCTTCTTTCCCTTCATAATTTCCATTCGCCTCTTCTTCGATACTTTTTTCTTTTGTTGCCAGGCGATTTTCCTCTTGGCTGCTCTTTCCGGATCGACCACAGCCTGAAATTAATTTTTTTTTCCCAAGTTATCTCACAAATACATTCAATAATTGAGTCTAATTAAAACTACATGTAAAAATCACTTTCAACGTACCAGTTTTGAAATTTCTTGTTTTCTTCGGGCTTTTCTGACATCCAAATTCTGGGTTACCTTATTTAGAAGTCCTGTGTATTCGTCGAGAGGAAGATTTTTTTTAATTATCTGCAGGACTTCCTTTGCCACCGTTTTCAGGGTATCTTCACCCGATCTAAACTCCCTCACAAGAGGAAGCATGAAATCAGGCAGGTACTGCTTGACGTTATCCATACCCAACTTTCCAATCACGCCAGCTATCCATTTGAAAACAGCGATTCTCTACAAAAAAAATTTTGAAACAGATGTTTAGAGTTGGTTACTTGATTCAATTGAAAATTTTAGTCATTTTTTTTGTTACGAGTACTGAGCTTACAATAGTCGTAGATTTAGGATGCCTGGCCAACTCGCGATTGATGTACTCCTTCATTTTCTTTACTAACCAGGTCAGAGACACGTCCTTCTTTTCATCCGCATCCACTCCATTTGATTCAACATTTTTATCATGTTTTACATCCTTATGATTCACATTTTTACCTTTCAAAAGTTTCGCAATGAAAACTAAATGACTGACGATCAGATCGTTTAGATTATCGATGATTCGTCGTTCGTAATGCTCGAATTCTGTTTCTGGTAGAAGCAACTGTCGAAAATCTTCGATCAAAGTACGCAGCTTATCGTTTGGATCGACGTACAGAAAATCGTCGTCGGGATCGCAATCTTGGGAATTATTCAACAAATGAATGACTTTGTTTTCATCGGCTGTAACGAAAACGTAGCCAAAGAATCGGGTAGCCCGCACTCGAACCCACAAATGAGGATGTCTCAAAAAGTGTTGGCAGAATTCTGTAAAATATTGAAAATCATTGTAATCGAACATTATTACAGATAAATATATTTCAGTTCAAAGATATACCTGCATAATTGTTCATGTATTCTTTATATTTCGGATCGGTCACGAATTTTGGACACTTTGTACATATATCGACTAACAATTCTAAAACTTGTATGAGATGGTGATCTTTAGATCTTTCATCGAAATTGTTGTTGACTTCGTTCTGAGTTCTAACGAAACGACCGGGCCCATCATTGGGGCAAAACTGCTTCGAAATGAGGGGTAAGACCTTTTCCAGTCTCGATTCAAATTTGTCCTCTTCTGCCGCCAGAAACAGTCCGCAGACTTCAGCTGCCAATTCTCTTTTAGTAATCTTTGGTAAAAATAAAAATAATATTATTAAAAAAAATAGTCTTGAAATCCAAAGAGACGTTTCAATTGAAACAAACCTTTTCCTCGGCAAACCATGACAAAACTTTGCTAAATAGATGTTCACGCTGGTTGTGTTCGAGTCGTTCTAGCAACTTTATGATCAAATTGGCACATTCTTCCCTGCATTTTGGATCTTCATCTTCGATAAGCCGAGCGCAAACTTTTTCAAAAATATCATCCACGACTTTCTCAAGTTTTGACTGAAAAGTAAAATATTCATTTTACTCGACTTTATGCTCCTGTTACGTGGGATTGAAAGGATTTTGCGTGAAACTTACCATTGTAAAAGTCGAGACAATTTTGTACAGTACAGTCAACACGCTAAGACGTCCAATTTGCACCTCATATTTCAACTGAGTCAACATGAAGATGATGTTCTTATTGAATTTTTTCCCCAATTCATAGTTCTTCAAGTACATAAACAAAACAGTCTGCGACTGTTGACGAACGCTTTCGATTTCCGAGGTGACCATCATCTCCCTGACCTTTTCCATGGATTGATGTATCTCGGGAGCGTTTCTCTTGTGCTTGATTATGGCTTTCAACATGCTGAAAGCGTGCTTTTCGCCGCAGATCATGTCTCGCTCGATGTACACCAGCAAAATCTTGAGCTGCTCGGTCGTTATGTGATAAACACGAAGGCCCTCGATGATGGACATTGTCTTGTAGACAGTTGTCTTCAGTTCCAAGTTTTCACCCTTGGCCAGACCAACGCCGCCGTATTTGTGGAGAATCGTAACGATTTGCGCGCTTATCTCCGCTATTAACTTTCGGACCATGGGAAGATCGATGAGCACGACCCACCTCAAGCATCTGATGGCTTGTACCCCAAGCTGTAAAAAAAAAAAAAAAAATTACCTTTATAGTTCGTTTAACTTGTCATGATTGCGCTTGGGGGGAGCAATTTACCTTGACTTGTTGAAGTTTCAAACAATCATTGAGTAATGAGACAAAATTATTCAAAGTTGGCTTGACTTCTTCACCGAAAGACTGGCTTCGCTTTAATATTATATGGAAGAGCATCAAGCCAAACTCGACCATGATGTGAATGTTGGTGTTTTTCGATATTTTAGAATTTTCTTGTAGAGAAGCTCTTTTAGGAGTGGGTGGCAGTATAAAACAATCCTTGCGAGTGGGTGGCACGCTCTTCTTTTCTTCCTTGACCTTCAAAAGCTCCTTTTTCTTGTTTTCAGGCAAAAGTTGAGGAACGTACTCGGCGCACAAGCTTTGCAAAAAGTTCAACATTTGACCGGTTTGTATGAATTTATTGTCAGACAAGCCCAAGCCGAACATTCGCAAAGATTCCGCGACCTTCCTCACACTTTTGTGCGAATGCGTGCGCAGCAGAACTTCCTTCTGAGGCTCCATGACATCGGCTATGCACTCCTCATCAAGGCGCTGTCCCAATATATTAAAAATAGCGTAACTTTTGGTCGACTTGGCCTCGAACACTTTTTTCACAACCCCGACGACTTCTTTTTCCTCGGCTGACGGCCCAAACAAGTCCATCTTGCATATGTGCAAAATACTCTTTAGGTTCGAGCGCACGTGCCGAGGCTCGATGACAGACTTTATATGCTCGAGTATCGCGTGCAGGGTGTAAGCGAGCACGTGAACTTGGAAGCCTCGGGTCAGCATGGTCTTCATTTCGTTGATGAGATGGTGAAGGTGCTGCGGCCCAAGCGTCATCATGATGTTCTTCAGGTTCTCCCGGGTCTCCTTGCGCACGGAATCGAGATGGGATTTCAAGAAGATGCACACTTTCATGAATATCCTAAAACATTGTTGACGGATAAGAAAAAAAATAATAATAATAATAATTAAGCAAGAAAACAAAAACTACCCAAGTACGGTTCTTACCCTCTCAAGTTCGAGTTCATCAGGCCCTCTGGCAATTTTTGCAGTAGTTTCACCATGGGCAAAGCAATGGGCACGCGCATAAGGTCTTCCTCCTCGCGCTCGATGCTGATCTTCTTGGTGGTGGCCTTGTGCGAGCCCTCGTGTTTTGCCTTGACAGCCAAGCACCTGTGCAACGCGGGCAGTAGGCCCTGTTTGATGCTGTTGACGAGATTCCTGGCCATGGAGCGCGACAGCACGGTGTCCCTCTCCATCACCGGCACATCCTTCTTCGCTGGCTCCTCCTCTGCTGTCGCGTCATCTGGACCAGCTTCCTCGATCGTCTGCAGGGCCTCGTCCAGCTGCTCTTCGATGCCCACACCCGGTTCTACGAGCTCTGGATCTGCTTTATCGTCCTCCTCGCTAGGCCCAGCTTTATCAACCACCTCTTTTACCCCAACTTTCGTGACTACCGATTTCGTGAGGACTTTCGAATCCTCTTTCTCATCATCCTCCTTGTACTTGGACAAATCGTAATGGAAGTTGTCCAAAATCGCGATGATTATTTTGATTATTTGCTTCTGATAGTCGAGAGAGTTCTTCAGCTTGGCCAGGTAGTACTTGAGTATGACTTCGTACTGCTTCCAGGGCAGCAGTCTGCATATGACGCCGACGGTCTGAATAGCGACGTGGATTATGGTGTGAGCTCCCACGTACCTATCCTCGCACAGGAAGGAAGAAGCCAGTGGCAGGATGAACTGAGTCAAGACTCTCGTATCGGGAGGCTTGGCCAGTGTCTTGGCGTGAGCGCAGAATACCCAGAGAGCTTTGCCCCTTCGCTGCTTCTGCATGTGCCTTATATTTTCGAAGAAATCGACCTCGGGATCTTGTTTGTTCGTCAATGGATGTAGGTCCCGGAAAACGGGGTGCACCTCGGGACACTCCATGGCCATGTGGCGCAGGAGGTCGATCGATTGGTGCCGCACGTCCGTGACTCGACTCCTGATGCCGCGGCGCACCGTGCTTAGGATCGTTTCGTCGATCAGGTACTTGCGATCGACCGCGGAGCTTCGGTACTTCTTCGCCAGGTAGACGGCTATGGATTTAATACACTCGCCCGACCTGTCGGTCAAAGCCAGGTCTTTTTCGTGCTGCAGGAAGAAATACGAGTTCAGGATTATGGCCACTCCCAACTCTAGCGTTATCTCGTCCTTTTCGATCAGCTGGTTTATCTTCTCGAAAGCGGCCAGTCTTCTGTCAAAGTCCGGTCTCTCGACGTGACCCTTTTCAAAGGCATTGAGCTCCTTCAGCAACTGCTGGCTAGTTTTCAAAAATTCGGAGCCCTTCGACAACTTCTGCAAAAGTGTCATCAGCATTAATCTAGCAGGCGCATGGGTAATCAGCCCGAGCAGCTGCAAGCTCGGCCTCAGATGCTTCTTTGGGTCCTCAACGTGAGCCACGAGATTCGTCACGGTCGTCAGGAGGCTCGTGACGATTTCTTCGGAGCTGGTGGCCTGTTTCTTCAAAATCGGCAGTGTGAGACTCAACAGCGTGTCGCAAATCTTGGGCTCGGTCGTGAACTCAGATACGCGCGAAAGGATCGTCATCTCGGCGCGATTGACCCTTCCGCGTTTGTCCTTGCTTAGCTTTCGTTGCAGGTAGAGCAGGATGTCGGTGACGTGGGGCACTAACAGTGCCGAGCCGTAGTTCACCAGATCGTCCGTTGCAATTTCCAATTTGTTCGTTACCACGGGCAGCAGGGATTTCGGCTTCTGTACCTCATCCTCGTCGACCTCCATCTTGTTTGGCTCTTCTTTTTCAAAGTCCTGCAAGGTGAGCATCTTCTCGAACATGTCGACGATCGTGCGGAGCACCGATTCCTTTGTCTTGGGGTTCAACAGTAGTTTGACGACAAAGACCAGGGGCGTGTTGTTGTCCCTGTCGAGCTTGGCGAAGAGCGGATAGTAACGCGGGTTGTGACTCCAGACTGACATCATTTTGAGCAGTGGAGTCGGACTGTACACGCCTTCGTTGGGCAATTTATTCAGCCAGGGAAAAACGGCCACCTCGAATAGCGCATCGATCTCGTTGCTCGACCAGTCGTAGTTTTCAAAGTGCTCGAAGAACCTCGCTAATACCTTGATGCAGCTCTTGCGCGCCTCGCGGATGGAAGACAGGTAGACCTGGTGAATGTCGGCGCTCTGTCTCAGGATACCGGTGATCTGGGCTAATACGCACATCAGTATGGCAAAGAGGTAGGGCAACAGCTTCGAGGTCATTTTTCCACCAAATTGCTCGATAATGATGGCCAACAGATTCACGGCGCTCTGTAGACGTTTTGGCGGGATGACGTTCTCCAGATTAACACTGCCCAAAACTTCCTCAACCATTTTCCGAATGTCAACCTCGGCCTGTTTTTTTTCGTCGACATTCAAAATCGGCAGATAGTTCTGGAATGGCTTGAAAGCCATCTGCACGAACGTCATCATTTCCGTCTCCTTGACGCCGGCCAAGAAACTTAGGATGATTTTCCTCCTGGTGTGACCACCGCCCTTGCCACCGGTCCTCATTCCAACCCGCTGGGTCATTTTGGCATGCAGGATCCTCATCAGCACTGGCATCAGGCCAGCGCGGTGCTCTTCCAGCACAACAGAGCCATCCTCCGCAGAGATGTAGAAGCGAGCCAGCTCGTTCTTCATGTTCTTCTCGTCGACGATGGCGTTGAGCTGAGCGCGGTAAGGCAGCAAGTAATTGTACTTGTAGGTATATAGGCAACCGAGCGCTGCTTTCTGGATCTCGGAATTTTTCGAGGAAAGCAAGTCCAGGTAAATTTGTACCACCTCGGACTCGCGGTAGAGCGACAAGGGGTTGGTGAACTTGCCAAAGACCTTTAGCATGGCTAGCAGGAACTTTATGCGCTCGGTTCTGCTTAATTGCTGCCTCAATTCTTCTTCTCTGTCAGTAGGTGTTGTCTCGTCTTTTTCGACTTCTTCCTCGTCCTCTTTTTCGTCATCTTTTTTGTCGTTTTCTTCGTTTTCTTCCTCGTCTCCTTTTGCATCCTCCGTAGCATCTGCGGATGATAAATATTTTTTTTAGTCAAGGTAAGTACACCATTGCATTGGTTTTTAAAATAATGGTCAAACCTTACCAAGATCGATCATGACTTCCTGCTGCTCTCCCGGCTTTTTTTTCTTGATATTGCAAGACCAAGCGATCTCGGAGTTGGACCTGAAAAAGTTTCCCTGGACGAAATCAATGAACAATCCAACGTAATCGCGATTCTTCGTCTCGCAGTACTGGCCCATTATGCCCATGCACTTCCAAATCAGGAGCTTGTAGTTGTGGCGATCGATTTTTTCGTTCAGAGAAAACAACCGATCTGCCAACTTCTTCAGCACCTCGCATTCAAGACCCGGCGCCTCGATCGTAATTATCTCACTGTCCGCCGTCTTGAGTTTATCCATAAAAACTTCCCAGAAGCTCTCGCACTCTTTGACAGCGTAGCTGGTTATGAGGTGGCACACTTTATCCCAAAGCAGGGAAAAGTTGACGTAGAGGTTGCCAAAGAGATAGTGAAGCGGTACGTCATAGTAGCGCGTATCGAGGCCTCCTTTCATGACCTGCTGTAACTCGAGCGCCTGCAGATGCAGCGAACGATCTCGGTACTTGTGAACCGTCGCTGGCTCGCACTCGGACAAGTACGGCAGCTCGAGAACGCCTCTCGATTTCGGATCCGTGGGATCTTTGGGACATACTGTTTCGGAGAACAGTGAGAATATGTGCGAGACTGTGCGGCGAATCAGCGGACTCGGAGAGCCCAGTTTCCGGGCGAGTGATGCGTGAAGCTGGTCGAAGATGTTTTCGTTGATGTAGTCCTCGGCGTGCGTTGAATTTTGCAGGTAGCTGAGGACGAGATCCAAGACGTTAAGCATGGAAACGTCGTTATCGTGCAGAACGACAGTCGACAAGAGATCAAAATCGGCGAAGAATTCCATTGTCAGGGCGTGCAAGTCGTCGGGTTTGGTCATGTGAATTAGGCACTCCGCAAATAGAAGGAAAGCAAAGTTTATCCTCTGCTGGTCCTCGTTTTTTGTTACCACGTGCATGGACAGCGCTACAACGTTTTCGATCACCTTTGGACGGAGCTCGTCGTGTAGAAGTCTCAAGTGCGGCAAGACTATCAGCACCCTCAAAGCGCTCTCCGTGATCCTGCCTTCTTTCAACGAGTCCAAGTTTTCCGTCAAAAATTTTACATTCTCCAGACCTTTGATGCTCAGGCTGTACAAGTTCCATTTGTCCAAGTTTTCACCACTGAGAGAGGGCGGAGATTTGGTTTCTATTATTTTGACAAAAAGGCCAAGCGATTTTTCACCAAGTACTGCAAAGCTGCTCAGTTTCAGTATGTGCGGCAGTACCAAAGTTTCAAAGGATGAATGGTCAATCAGCTTTTCTGTGATTTTAAACAGTAAATCTTGATTGTCGATGGAAAATAATTTGAAAATAAGGAAACTCGAAGTTTCTTGTAACAATTGAACATTGTATCCAAGAAGAGTGGCAACACTGGCATTTGCGATTTCTCCCAAAAGTTCAACGTTTTGCCGATACTTGTCGATGAGTCCGGTCAATCTTTTCGCCCAAGAGACAGGATCCTGCAGCATTTGGCCCCCTTTGTAATTGAGGACGTTTTGAATCAACCTTAGAGGAAAAATCAAATGCTCTTCCGGAAATTGTTCCAGAACTTTGTGAACGACGGTCCACAGCACCTCGCAATTTTTGTAATGTATTTCTTTTATGATACATTCGAATATTACTGACAGCACATCAAACAAAAGTTCCTGATTAATCTCTGGATCTTGAATGGCGTTAAAATAAAGGTCAAGCATAGGTTCGGCACATGAGTGAAATTGTCCTGGGACACCAGCCAGCACGTGAAACATCAACTTTCCACAGCCAACGATTCCATCTTGTTTTTCGTTGAGGTGGTTTAATACAAGCTTGAAAAATGCTGGCTTGTTTTTTACCTTTCTGACAACAAAGGCAAAACTTTCAGCAGCAAAATTATTCACGTAATCCGGCTGTCTGTCGGTCAACAGTGGCAGAAGTAAGGTAAAAATTGTATCACTATTTTTTATCATATAACGCCACAGGAATTTAAACAAATAGGCTAAACAGTGAAGGGTATGCTCCAGCTGCTCGGCATCTTTAATCTGAAGCAAATCGATGATTGCTTCCAAAAATATTGGAAAGTATGAATAAAATTCTAGTTGTAAATCTTTAGCCACAGCAATGATTAGACTGAAATGAAATAAAAAATTTAAATAGGGATCATTTTTAACGATTTTTCTAACTAAGTATCTGTATGTTCAAAAAACTTACTCAAAAACAGTTTGGAGACATAACGGATCCTTCAACTTTAAATATTTTAACAATACATCGATTACATGCTGCTTTTGGTTGAGCAATTGAGGTAGTGTGACTATGTCTTTTATTTCTTTTCGCAAATTAACATAGTTTCCTGACAAATTGAGAAAGTTCCACTTCTGAACGCATTGAAAAAAGTATGTCTCTGTTTCTTCCGAGACTTCCTCATTGCGATGAGAAACTTTGTGGAAAACATCGACATCGATGTCGTTTATTCTTTGAGAAAACGGCTTAAACTGAAATTGTAATGTGAGAGCAATTATTATTATAAACTATGATGTGAAAAAAACCTCAAAGATCGATTGCAAATGCATTTAACTCTAACGTAAATAAATTTTAAAAAAACATGAATAATCATAAAATCTTACCTTAAAAGTATTTGAATCTTTATGCCTAGTCGGTTTATTCTTCATTTCGAAAAGCGTGAGTTTTTCACCTTTAAAATAATACTTTATTCACAATCAAATTAATATTAGTTAATAGTTGTAAATCTCGTCGAACATCGCTGTTTGTCGACACAACTGAGACAAAACATGCATGTAGCAGAAGAAGCACGTGGAGCCGTCATGAGGCGAAAATCATGATAGGTTAGGTACAAAATAACACTACTCAGCTCAATAGACCTCTTAAACTCACAATAATAAAAAGTTCAACCTAAGACGGATTAAGAACTATAATATTGTAAAGAACGACTAAAATACGAAATATTAATTAGTTTGCAAAATCATTAAAAAGTAATAGAGTTAAGAAATTCAATTTCAACAAAACAGAAATCAGCTGTTGTGGTTTCTCGCTGATGCACGTAGTTCTTGTAAGGGTAATTTCGTATAAATACGTTTTCCCGCGCGTAGACACCATATATATATGTTTTTCACGTATGCGGTGTATGACGCATGGTAGTACGAGAGATTTATTTATTAATCATCGGTGATTAAAAAACATTGCTCGTGCATTTTGTGTTCGGGTGTAGTTAAGTGCAAAGTTTTTTTTTGCGTGTCGCAAAAATAGTCATCGGATCGAGAAAAAATGGCAACCTTCGACCTGAACGCTATCAGCAACTCATTGAGCGAGGCTAGCAAGACCAAGGGCACCGGCGTTTCCTTTGCTGGGAAGTCGTTGAAACTCAACACAGGGAAAGATGGTAAGTGTGTCCACCCAAAGTTTTGTGGATTTTACATTTCATATTGATATCAGGTAATTGTAATTGAAACGATAAATTCCTCTAACCTTGTTGTATGACTAATTTCTTGTGTTGATATATTGTACTTTATTTTCAATAATTTTTACATACGTCTATTTTTGTTGTCACGCAGCTGATGAAGTTGCAGAGGCTATTGAAAAATGCAAAAAAATGGAGTATCTGGATCTCGAGGGAAATACAGTTGGTCCTGATGCTGCCAAGCGCATATCAGAGGCCATTGAAAAAAATGGATCCTCCTTGAAAAGAGCATTGTGGAAGGATATGTTCACTGGTCGCATGAAAGATGAAATTCCAGTTGCCCTGGAGCATTTTGGCAGAGGACTCTGCTTAGCCAAGACACACTTGGTTGAGCTTGACTTGAGTGACAATGCCTTTGGGCCCATTGGTGTTAAAGGCTTGGCTGCTCTGTTGAGTTCTAGCCCTTGTTTCACGCTGCAAGAGCTAAGATTGAACAACAATGGACTTGGTATAACTGGTGGAAAAATGCTTGCCAAAGCTCTAATAGATTGCCACAGTAACAGCCTCAAGGAAACCTCTAAGCCCTTGGCTCTTAAAATATTTGTAGCTGGGAGAAACAGGCTTGAAAACGAAGGAGCTACAGCTTTGGCCAAAGTATTTGAAAAATTGAGTAGTCTGGAGGAAGTTGTGATGCCCCAAAATGGTATCTATCACGTTGGTGTGACCGCCCTGGCTAATGGTCTATCATCGAATTCAAATCTTAGAATTTTGAATCTCAACGACAATACTGTTGGACCAAAAGGAGCTCTAGCACTGGCTCAAATTTTGTGTAATTTTTCTAATCTAGAGAGGCTTAATCTTGGTGACTGTCTTTTAAAAACCAGAGGAGCCCTGGCACTGGCCGAAGCCATAGGGATCGAAGGCAATCATCCTTTACTCACAGAAGTTAATCTCAGCTATAATGAAATTAGATGTCGAGCTGCCTCTACAATTGCCGACGCAATGATTGACAAATCTATGCTGGAATCCCTAATCTTGGACGGAAATGCTTTTGGGGAAGAAGGAAGGAATATATTAGTTGATTGTCTAACGCTTAGTGGCAAGTTAGATTGTTTAGGTTCCTTAGATGAGGACGACGATGATGATGATGAAGAGACTGATGAAGACGACGAAGAAGAAGAGGAGGAGGAGGAGGAGGAGGAGGAAGAAGAAGATGAAAATAATGAAACACAGAGCAGTTTTAACGCACTTAATCTGAGCGTAAATAAAACAGAGAAACCAGCGCTAAAAATTGTCACTATCAATGACTTCTTAAAATCGCCTACAGGAGAAAACTTTCTTCTTCTTCAAGGTGACAAAACACAAATGTTCACTGAGCTTATGAGAGTAAGATTGAATTATACTTTCTGTTAAAGTATTTGTCAAAAGCATTTTGTTGTAACTAAAAAAAAAATTTTATTTTTAGACTATAGCTAAACTTGAAACTGAAGATCCCACAAATGAGGTAATAAAAATCGTAATGAAAGTATCAGCACTTTGCGGAAGTAGTTACATAGACATTCGCGTTCCTGCTGAGCAAGTGACCGATCGCCTATATGCAGAATTATTCACAAATGCCGTAAAGAGTAATCAAATTCCATCACTGAATAACTCGCTACTAGTCGCTCTTGGTCTCATTAAGGTATGTCTAAAATTGAATTTCAATTTTATCTTGAGCAATGAGGAAAAAAAATTAATTGCTTACAGGGTGAAGACAAAGTAGCTTCGAAAATTGAGTGGAATTTAGAGGGATGCTTTAAGGCATTAGAAAAAGTATGTCAAAGAGACTACTTTCTTCCCGCAACAAGGGAAACTTTAAAATTTTTTATTACCAATCCAATGAAATTTAGTAGATCAAAAGTAGTTGATCAGTTCGAAGAAGCAAAAGACTCGCTCAAGTCGGCACTTGAACGGACACAAAGTACGTAACAATCAAGCCTGATTTAATTTTTATATATATATATATGTATAATAATCAAATTGAAAACAAAAAGTTTGAAAATATGTCTGTATAGCTATTGTATTTAAAACTTGAAAAATGAATATGATTGTGTAAATCCACTTCTTACATGAGTCTTAGATAATTTATTTATTTGCAACCGATTTTGTGAAGAAAAAAAAAAATATTTATATTCATACAATAAATGATTTTTCAAATAAGGTTTATTTACTATTAAAAAAAAAAAACAGAAAACAAAGATTATACAACATTCACCCGTGTAAAAAACTTGACAATTTTTCCATCACTTTATCACTTCTATAGACAGCTCCAAATGTATTGTCAATATAAAACGTAAATTGCTCGACAGAAATTCAAATGTGTAAGTAGCGTTAATCACACACCATAATCAACTTCACACCACTTCCGTTGTTTTTTGATTCTGGCATTTATCGTCAGATGAACATTAAATAATATATCCACACACCTTGATAAATATACATATTGTTTAAATGCACGCTGTGCACATGTTTTGAAAAAAAAATCATAACTTTTTTTTCACATGTACATTAATTTTATAAACGTCGTTTTACTGAAGAATTGCCTTGATCGCTTCAAGGCACTTATTTGTAGACAATACTTTTCTTGTAATAAAACGACGTCAGAGTTAAAATTATTTCCGCAAAAACTCACAGCCGCACGATATTATTCACTCATTAATAGAACTTGTTCTATTTTTCTTTTATTGTAGACATTGGATCCCATCCTGAATGAAAAAGTTCAGATGCCAATGGATTACAGTGTTGTGAATTTTGATTTTCCATGTACATAGTAGCCTAAAAAATAAAAATTGCATTAAATCTGTCCATACAACGTATATCTTATAATTATCGTACCAAGAATAGCACTAGCTGTTGTTTTGTTCTTGAATCACAGTCTGATGCTAGATTTGATGGATACTTTACACTCGAGTTGTTATCTAAGATATCTGAAGCTATTAAATTTGTACAGTGATTTTGATCCACTCCAACCTCATCCATGATTAGGCCTTTGCAAAACAAATTTTTTTTAAATTTTACCTATTAGTATTGATTGTTTGGTTTAAATAAACTTTATTATGTAAATGAGCATACGTTTTTCGTGGAACGTCGGAGCGGCAAGGAAATTCGACAAGACAATGTACGAATCTGGTGAATCAACAAATAAATAAGGGTAGCGTCTGGCTAGTAATTTCTCCAACAACTTGTTGCCCCGATTTCCAGACAAGCTGTTTTCTGGCACACAAATCATTTCATCGTCGCTTCTTCTTACAATCAAAACGCGACCGTCATACCTGAAAGAATGAGAAGATTTCATTATATTGAGTAAAATTAAAATAAAAAATTTATTGGTACCTGTTTATTTGTGCGGCAACATTTAAATTAAAGTGATTCCTAATGACGCTACGGACTAAAGGTTCTATCGAAACGGGCATTCTGGAAACTGCTAGCGGTAGAATATCATCAAACGTTGCATCTAAAAGCTAAGTTTTTTTTTCAAGTAAATGGAAGGTGTGCATATACACATTGAAAAAATTCATGTGAATTTAATAATGAACAGTATCTAAAAATAATAATTACCACACTGTGAACTGATGGATAGTTCATTGCAGCCCAAGAAGCAGTATATCCCCCGATACTCCAACCATTTAAAATTATTTTATTTTCAGCAAATCCAAGCTTATGTATTGCGAACTTCATGACGCAATCTATTGCATTTTCTTCTTGTTCAGGATATGGAGCACCCTTGAAAAAATTGCAAATAAATGAAATTGAATTGAAGAAACTAGTTTTGAAAAAATTTCATTTAGCAAAAGTACTCACTGTACTACCTCCAAAACCTGGGTGGTTCCATCCTAGTACAGAATAGCCCTTATTCATTGGAGTACTTATGATTCCTACTTCATAAAATCCACAGTTGCCTTCGCATGTTATAACAAGTATTGATCCATTGGAAGTTCTAAAAAAATGTTATTTTATACACAATTCTATCAAGATATCAAGTTATCCATGCAATAAAATAATTTTTACTTGTGACGTCGATCAAGAAAAATCGCATCAATCTCATTATTATCAGATGTAAACAGCTTAAATCTTTCTGCTCCAATTTTCACCAGATCGATTCTACCTCGTAAAAGCATTCCCCCTGAAAATTTAGGAATTTTTAAAAATATTTTGTTACCTATTATTAAAAAAAAAACTCATTAAAACTGAGAAAAACTAACGCATTGCCCAGTTTATGATAGAAGCACTTCCTGGATATATCAATTTTAGAGCTAAAGTGTGAGCAATAGTATATGATAACATTTTACAGGGAACAGCAAATATTGAATCTTTTCTTCTCAGACTAGTTCTATTGCTTGACTCTAATACTTGCAGTGTCACTTTATCTCTGCTTCTATGGAAGAAAAATTAAAAATATAAATTTTAACGCAAGTTTAATGATTATATAATTATAATTTAAATGAAAATTATACTTTTCTATAGAAGAAACATCGAAATCAATGGGCCAAGCCCAAAACTCAAAATCATATTTTCCAAGCTCCTGCTTGGTCTCATAAGTGTAGTGAGACTTGGCATCATCCAATACTTTCATGAACTTCAAATAAGTTGGATTCTTTGATCTCGAATATCCCCTAGCCACCAAAGAAGTAACCAGTATAATGCCTGCCCCTGTCATAAATTGTGATATTGTGAAAGCATCTGCTAAAGGTGATCCTCTCCTGAATAAAGCTATCACGATCAATGGAATCGCATAAATTGACAAAGACCATGCTGCTGCAAACTGCAATAAAAATATTTTTAATTTAATTCCTCAAGATTTCATAGATTACTTGCCGAATTATAAAATACATTTGTCTTGATCGATAAAATTGTATCTAATCATTTTAAAAGGAGATAAATACTTTGCAATTAGAAATTTGCTCTATAATAAAAATATCTGTTAAGTATCAGCTGTGCTCTTAAAACAAAAAAAAGAAATATTCAAAAAATGTCTATTCATTATATTCTTTCGTACTTACTACCAGGCACTGTCATTATTAAATATTCATAATTCAAATCCATGCCAGAGCACACACACACACACACGCCATGACACTAGAATGAAATTGTCTGATCTGATATATTATGTGAAGTTGAAGTATTAAATTGATTTGATATTTTATTCAAGCTCATAATTAATATTACGTAGTAAAACAAGTACAAATTACTTGTATACTTAATCTAGACACAAGTTTTACACTATCAAGAAGAGGCATGAACATGCTAAATAAAACATATCGATAAAAAAGATCCTTACCGAGATGACAACTTGGTCTCCCCATCGCTCTAAACCCTTGGCCTCGTATGGTTTCTGAAAGTAAATATTGAGAAAAAATGCATTGATTTAATAAATAACGTCTCCAGCACATAAGCGAAATTAACTAGTTTTGGAAGGATTGAACGAGTCCACAGGAAAAGCCTGTCCGCAATATTTTTACTACGTGGCTCCGCTCTTGGTAAATCAAAGGAGACAGAGGAATGAAATTGCTGAAAGTTATACCCACGTCGATGAGACGCCCTACCCATGAAACTTCATAAAACTTGTAGAGTCGTGGACTAAAAGCGCACTGCCACAGAGTGCGGATGAGCGACATGTCACTCCGGCGTTAGATATTTATTTGCTTAATTTTTATAAATCCGAGGCTCGATTTCCAATTCACTGTTTTCAGATTTAGTCGATGCACTTGAAATTTATGTGAGGCTAACACATCAGCCTCTTTATGCCGGAGATTTAAATAAATATTTTGATTTTGATGCAGATGCAGACGGTGCAGCAGAAAAACAAACGCTGCACACACATCAGCTCTGCACACTGCGCAATGACGACGAACTTAAGAGTAAAATATATATATATATAGCTCACCCCATCTCATGAGTACTAGCACAATTGAAATATTTTCGCTTAAAGTAACGTTTGAAATTCTAAACTGTGCTAGTCTTCAGAGGAAGTATTATCCTGTGCGTGCGCACATCAGCGAGTGAGTTATAAATGAGTTTGTAAAATTTAAAAACTTATCCAGCAGAAAATATTTTATACAAACATTTATCAAAGTCGACAAGATTATTTTCTGCTACGACGGACTTATAAAAAATCAGTTTGCAATTTATAATAGCTTCGGAAATTTTTAGCGCGAGTAATCATACGTGGAGGTGGAGATAAGAAATCGTAATACAATGTGGTATGTAAAAAAATTTATTATCGGTGTCCGTAGGTAATTAAAAATTCAAAGTTCAAAGAAGTTCGAAAAAAATATTCATAAACCAAATAAAATAAAACATTGTTTTTGTTTGGTTTTCAAAATAAATTAAAAAGTTGGAGCATGATTATCTAGTGCCGTATAATTTAAGTGTGCGGTCCATGCTCACGGATGCTATAAAGTCGGCATTTCTTCCAAAACGAACGGCATGTACAGCTGCCGTGTGTTCATTGAATGTTTTCAACTCGACCCACTGTTTACAAATGTAAATTCTGAAACGGTTTTAATAAATTAGTTTTTACACTTTAACATCTTTGATGTGTGACAATTTAGTGCAAATTTTATACCTGACGTCCGAACCGCAGACAGCTAAATATGTGCCACTTTGATCGAAACATATATCTTTCACCTCGTACGACTCGTCTAGTTGCAAAGTCTTGAAGTTTTTCAATTTTCGCAAGTCCCACAATTTGACACAAGAATCTTCAGCCGCAGTTGCCAGGTAATAACCGTTTTCCGAAAAACTGATGGATGTTATGATGCCAGAATGTCCCGGGAAATTGGCAACGTTTGACTGTTCTTTCAAATCCCAAATTTTCACCTGCGAATCTGCTGTACCGGTACCGAAAATCAGACCATCAGGATGAAATTGAGAAGTTGTAAGTGGCTGACTGTTTGAACCCGCAACCTAGGGTATTCCAATTTTTTATTTAACATTAAAGTTATTTCTGGAAAAATTTAGAAGAAACTTGTGTGCTCACTTTGGTAAGCAGTTGCCCGGTTCTAATATCAGAAAATGCCCAGCAATGATCCAAAGAAGAGCTAAGTAAATAGTCTCCGGTAGGATGTAAGGACAATCCTGTAACAGGTGCATCGTGAAAGCGTAACGTAAGTGTCAGATGAGCATTGTCGACGTTCCAAGTTCGGATCGTTGTATCCGGTGATGCCGTCATAACTACGTCTTCCGTTGGATGGTAGATTACCCGTGATATCTGTCAATAGAAAATACTTTTCAATGCCTCAGTATAATTTTTAACATATATATATGGTTCTGGTTACCTTTTTTGTGTGACCTTTTAAAATTGCAACTATTTGCTCGGTATCCTTATTGAAAACTGTTGCCACCTTGTCAGCTCCACCAGTGACAATTTTGCTTGTATCAGCTCCGTGAATATCTAAAGACAAAATACCAGGAGCACTCGCAGAATGAAGACCCTGAAGTATTAAGACAAAAATATTAATTTATGACTGACTGATAAGGAATCACAATCTAAATTCCTTACAGGGTGCGATGCCAGGGTTTGGAATGACTTGATAGTTTCTTGCGAGGAAAGATCTTCTGGTATTGATCTGCCTCTCTTTTTTCTCTCTTGTGTCAATACTGTTGCTTTGTCTTGCAGTTTCTGAATCACATCGTCTGTTATGCCAGCCTGTTCATCTGGTTGTGCAGCCATACCACCAGCTTCTCCAGCAAGTGCCTGTGATGAATTAAAAAAAAAAAAAAAAAAAAAAATGTTTAAAAAATGCTGAAATTAATTAATTTAAATTCAAATAAATATTATAACTAACCGGCTGTGGAATATTCGTTGCTGATGTTCCAATTTGTGGCTTAAGCAAAGCAAGGGCTTCCCTGGCTGCAGACACTTCCTTTGACAACCTTGCAATTGTGCGACAGGCTGAATCATGCTGATACAAGCCATGTGATAATTCATCGTGTGTAGTTTGCAAATGTTTTCTCAAGCTAAACGAGCTGAGCATCGCCGCATCATACTCATCCCGTAAACCTCTCAAAATAGAAGGAATTGATGTAGCACTTGGTGCGTGTATTTTGGACTCATGTGCTGGAAGATTATTATGATTTAATATATTTTATGAAACTAAATATAAATTTGTTTTAAAACTTACGTCTGACGGGAATGAGTTCACTTATGTGTAGCTCTTTTCCATTAGTAGGATCTATTCCATTCTCTTGTACATATTTTTCTATGATTTCTTTTTCAAAAATTAATCCAGAAACTGGTGAAACAACTGGCTCTTCCGGAACTTCATTGGAAACTAAAAAAAAAAAATTGCAATGAATTTTTGAACAAAAATTAATGAATGTAACACTACTTGCTCTCTATGCAAGACTGTTATCTTGACTCTATATTTTTGAGAAATAGTAAGCACGCACAATAATGCAAGTTATATTATCGATCAAGAAATCTGATGCATTCAGTTACTCTTAAAAAATTATTTTTGATAATTTTAATCCTCTTTGAGGGTCGTTTGTAATTATTAACATAAAGATTGAACATAACCTGAAGTTTAGATAAACTTATTTAAGTATACAAACGAGTTAACAAGCTAAATTTTTGTAAATCAACTGTCATTATTCAGTAAAACACTTAATGCAATTTTTTAATAAAAACCCGTGCTTACATGGTAAACAAATAATGTAAAAACATTTTTTAAACTTACGCGCACAGTACAGCATTTTGCCCAGTTTGTTTTGATCCAACTAGCAGACCGAAAGTGTCTTGTGCACTGCTGAACGGCTGAACTCAAATCAAGAAAGTTCTGTGATTCTGAAAATTATTCTGAAGTTTTTCTTTGGACAAAACTACCTACTTAATTAGTATTGAAGTGAATTTTAAGGGTTTTTATAAGTGCCATCGAAAATGGAAAGAACGAAACGAAGTCCCAAAGCTACGTCAAACGTCAAAAAAAAAATGACGTGAGTACCAAGTACTTTTGAATTCATGCATAGAAATGGGGTTTTGCGAAATGATATTAATATTTACGAGTATTTTTTGTGTAGGAGGGAACAAATACAAGAAGCAATTATCAAGAAGAAAGAGTGCGATGCAAGAGCTTTGAAAATTGTCGAACAGTTGCTAGAACCAGAAGTTGATCCTTCATGGCTAGTTGAAAAAGTTATTATTACTTCATTATTAAGTGAAGATATAGGAAGGATTTTTTGAATAATGATAATTGTATTTTTAGCTTCAACACATCAACAGATGTCACATGGAGGATGTGATTGAAGAAAGAGCAATCACTAGGATATGTGGTTATGTATTGTGCCAAAAGCCACTTACTGTTGTCTACAAACAACAATATCACATATCATTAAAAGACAAACAAGTTTATGATGTTTCTAAGAGGAAAAACTTTTGCAGCTCAAGTTGCTTTGGTGCATCAAACTACTTGCTCGAGCAATTATTGACCAGTCCTCTATGGATGAGAGACAAAGAAGAAATTCCTACCTTTAAAATATTTAAAAAAGATGTTTTAGGGAAAAATAATCATCATGGAGCTACATTAGACTTAAATCAAGGTTGCAGTGTAAAGGAAGAAAATGAAAAGAAAGACCAGTCAGCAGAAAAAAATTCAGTTCACGAGGAAAACGAATTTGACTTAAACGAGACACAGGAAACTGAAGGTAGAGAAGTTTTAGGAAGTATAGAAGACTTTGTTCTTAAAACTATTAAGAAAGTGAGTAGAGATACTTTGAGGGGCTCTTCTCAAAACGTGCCTAATATTAACGAAAGTATAGATATCAAAGAAACTGAGATACCAGTGGAAACTGTGTGCAAAGATAAGTCAGTACTAGGTGAAAGTACATCTGAAATGGTTCAAAATTCTGCTGAAAAAAATGTTATTAAGTGTTATGATGATGCAAAGAAAGATGGAGAAATTTTGCAGCAAGTTGTATACACTGAAAGCACTGCTGAAAAAAATCAGGATGCCTCCATTAAACAAGATGATGATGATGATGATGACGATATAATTGAGCAATACAATTATTTTACAGACGAATCTACAAGTAAAATTTTATCCGAATCGTTTCCAGAATCAAGTATTGCGGTGAAGGAAAAAGAAATAAAAAAAAATTATGTCGACTGTTCACGAAATAAAATGAATGCAAGCGTAGTAGAAGATTTAAAGCGTATCAAAAAAGATGAATCTCCAAAATCAGTTCCTGCAGTTCATGCAGAATCCCAGAAGAAGGAAAAGATAGAAAAGAAAAAATCCAGAGTAGATAAAAAGAAAAAACGTGAAGTTGTTGTAGAAAATTTAACTGCTGGGATTGAAAAAAGTTTTCAGGAATGGGTCACAGAAGAAACTATTAGTTTTTTATTTGGAGACGATTCCGTAAAGCAAAAAGCTATTGAAAAAGTAGCACACAGAGACAGATATTCTTTACTGTGCGAGAAATTGGATAGGTTGCAGTTTGAAGATGAACAAGAAGATACTTTGATATTAGAAAAACAAGTTTTAAAGCCAGCACCACACTTTGACGTTCTCAGAGAAGAAGGAAAGAAACTCGAAATTAAGGTAAAATCCACTATAAATGTCTATTGAGAAGTCTCTTCATGTTTAACAAAATATTTTAGGTACATGCTTTTTACCAAGGTAAAACAACATTTGAGGAATTGAAGAATCCCGAAGCTGAGGAAGATGATCCTGATACAGATACTGTTTTACCTTTGACTGAAGCTCACGCTCCTCAAGCACTTCGTCGCAAAATTTTCTTAGAAAAGCTTGACCACGTGTAAGTTTTGCAAGTTTTATTTTTTTACTGAATATTTACAAAAATTAAATCGTCTTATTTCATAACAGCTTACCGGACCTCTTAAGAACTTTGGCTGGTAATAATGAAGTTCATACAAAAGCTTGTTTGAACTATACCAGTGTGAGATGTACTGCTGTGAAAGCTTTAGTGCAAACATTTTCTTTATCAGCTAACAATATAATTTTAAAAACTGCTGAATGGACTCTTGCTGGTCTTGTTATTATTAAAATGTAAGTGATGAGATATTTAAGGAAATAAACTGAATTTCTTTTATAGTTTTAATTAGTCTAATTTGTAAAAACATTTTTACAGGCTAAGTTTACTGGATCCTTGGCTGGCAAATTTATTATTAACAAAACAAGCAAATATGTATATATCTATGATTATGGCCTCGTACTCGCTGGACGCGAATTATTTGAACCTTTTTGTCGCTTCGTTCAATCCAAATATGAATTATTGAGAAAAATCTTTTTCATAAAATTAAGATAAATCTTTTTATTTTTACTAAACTTTGCTGGTTTATTTATTTAATTCCCTTTAATAAAACTTAAAATAGTATATATTATGTACACTTATTAAAAAAATTGCATGCTATCATCTAGTCGTTGCACATAATTTAACAGTTTCAAGTTGTGACATCAAGAAATTTAAAGACGAAAATTAGATGTTTGAGGTCCTTCAAAATGATTATCAACTTAAATATTCGAAGACCATAACAAAGTTGAAGAAATAATGGATGGGAAGAAAGATAAAGTTAGAAAACACACGAGTACATACAGAACTCTGGAAAAATTCGTAAGCAAATCGGTTGTAAAGTTAAAACGTGACTCCAGTATAATATCGTTATGGTAAGTAGTCGTACAGATACTGATTTATAACGTCATCAAAAATACTATGTGCGACATAAGAAAACAAATAAGCGAAAAATCGTACTTTATCAGATTTTTTTTTTTTTTTTTTTAACTGAAATTTTTTGTACTGTCTTTATAAATAATACAATTAAATATAAATATTCCTTTTTAAAATTTATTACAAAATCGAAAAAAACAAAGTATTTATAAAAAAATTAAAATGAAAAAAATTATTCTCTATCATTTATATTATTATCCTTAGTCTCTCAAAAGAATTTATAGATTACACAGAATTTCGTTTTACACAGTGATAACTTGCAATAAATTCTTAGTTCAAGATATTTATATTTTATAAAAAACAAAATTTTCAGTAACAACACTGTTGTGAAAAAAAAAGATCGACAATGTATAAAACTTAAGAATTTTTTTTTTTTAAGTTAATGTACAAAATAGTTTGATCTTATGCAAAATTAAAAAATTTTTAACTTTAATCAGCCTACACTTTAAAAGTAGCTCCTAATATAGAAGAATTTTGCAATGGAGATGCTGGTCCATCCATCATAGGATCGACTGGAAGTATTGGGTCTTCATTGTTTCGTTGGCCAACTTTTTCTTTAAGAGCTTGATATAAACTATGAACAGCCTCGTTGTGCTAAAAATCAATTATTCACGTAGTTTCACAGAATTTCTCAAATAAAAAAACAATAAAACGCCTATATAAAAGATTTACTAATTTACCTGACTAGTTGGTTCAAGAGATTTTATGAGAGCATGAAGCCTAGCTATGGGCAATTTAGGGTGTACCCACCACAACAGCTTCAATAAATGCCTGGTTACGCTATCTTTCGTCATCCCCGCCAAAAGAAATTCGTCAAATATAACAGTACAAAAAGATTCATTTGTAAATTCATCAGCCATATTCATTATAAGCAATAGAATCTAAAAATAAAAATTAAAGTATATTTGAGATGACGTAGAAATTTCGTGAGTTATATTTAAAAAGTTCATCAGCTTACCAGAGTATGAAGAAACGGATCTTCGTATGCACGCTGACCCTGACAATTGGGAAGAGTAGCAAGAATCCGCATAAGACCACGAGCGTCGCCACGCGTTTTACCTTGTGCAGAGCCCGCACCGGTTCCTATTCCTCCAACGTTTAATGTGTAATACATGGCTAGTACAGCTGCTACACCCGACTGCTGTGCAAAGGCCTGACAAGATTCAGGAGGAGGTCCTGAGTGCTCAATGATAGCAATAGCACTTTCGCGTTCATCCGGTGGTAAGCGACAGTTTAATTGCCGAATCTGATCGTCGACCTGTAGAAAAAAAAATCAATATACCGATGCCCGTTTTAGAGTTTTAAAGAAATTATTTACCATCAAAGACATCAATGCTGGTAGAAACTTTGTGACAACTTGGCTGTCGAGTTTTGGTTCCTTGAATTCTTGTGAATCAATCATTTGCCAAGCTGATAATCCTAGTGCCAGCATTCGAAGGAGCAAAAGTAATACTGCGTTATCTCTTGGCATTCCATCTCCGTTAATAAGATTTGTCGCAGTTTTTATCGCGTTATTTGCCAAGAAATTTACTGCATAAGGATCACACAGTGTCATACTTAAATCTCCCAATACTTGTTCTTGCCCTCGCTTAAGTGAAAAAATAAAATTAACATAAAAATCAAGTATTTTATAGTTCTTGGCAATTTTTAACGGCAAATACCTTTATACTATCTAAAAATCCTTGAAGTTCTCGTGATCTTTTAACGTCAACTTGCTTTTCTCTTATACAAGCATCCAAGCACCATGTAAATTTATGACAAGGGTCAACAGAAATAATATCTTGGACCTATAAATCAATTTTCTTTTTTAATACTCTTGCGTTAGTTTCAAACCTTTGAATGTCTTGGAACATGTTTATATTTCACCTCTAAATCGTGCAAAGCCATTAGAAGTTCGGCTCTTAGAGTGCAGTAGTGCACATTCTTTGTCCTTAAAAATAATGTTCTCAAAAATTGAAGAACCATGTCATACAACTTGACACTGTGTCCAATCATATGTGCTAGTTTTTGTACCACTTCTCCTTGTCTTCTGACCTAGATAATATAATGAATATAAAATTTGCAGATACATAAATTTACATCAAAGTGAATAGCCTTACTTTTGGAGAAGGCATGAAGAATGGGCTGTTTAAATTAACATGGTCAAAAAGAACTTGTTCCTTCTCAATAATGTATTTACTAAATAAAGGAGAAACTTCGTCTCCAAACAAACTTTGGTTATCCTTCCAGATTTGTCTCTTTACTTCTGTGTCAGCGTCGTTGTACAGTTCTTTATCTCTGACTAAAACCTTCAAGTATTTGTCATCTATCACAGGAGTGTTCCTTAAAATACACATAACTACTGGCCTCAAGGCAGCAACTTTAACAGCAGAGAAGCTTTTTGACAACAGTTCTTTTAATCTACGATCCGTCGTTTGAGCACCTTTCTCACTTCTCTCACTACCAATTTCATTAATTTTCGCAATCAGCTTATCGCGCAAACCTTCAAGTACGGCTGCATGAAAATCTAGCCTCTGAACTTCGTGAAGATCCAGGAGTGGAAGCATAGGTCTCAAGGAAGCCAACAATATTCCATTCTCCAACTAAAGTAAAATTTTTGCAAAATAATCAGTATGTGAGAAAAAAAGTTTTTAAGATTTGTTTGAAAATGTTTAAGATCACAAACCTGAAATTCTTGAATAGCTTTTAGTGGATCATTGCAGGTAGTTAAGGAATTCCTGAGGAAACTAGCCCCTGCAATGCCAAGATTTTCAAGATTATCCCCAGGTGTCCCATTATTTTTTGCACTCGACATTGTTACAATAATTGTATTTAATTTTAATTACGCCTTTGAATTTTCATAACAAATGAAAGTTTATATGGCACATCATCGTCAAATTTAGTTGTTTACATACGAAAAATACGTAAACAAGTTCTCTGCAATGAGACCACATTAAAATAAACTTTTGCCGTTTCCTTTCAACTAAATAAAGCTAAATAATCTGTTAACCGATTTTTTTTCGAGAACATTTCACTTTAACAGTGAAAGTATTATTCAAAAAATAGTTTTGAAAACTCTAATAATATTATCTTACACTTCGGAAAGGTTAAGATTATACACCTCTCTGTATGTCATATATATATAAACGCATACATCGAGTTAATCGATTCAAATTTCGATCCATTTGTAATCGATTCCAAGTTCTCGAAGCTCGAAAAATGTTCTCAATGTAGAGATTTTAAAAAAGGAGCTTTTTTTCTAAAAAAATATTATTTTTATATTTTACAAGTTTACAAGTAAGTAGTAGATACTTACAGGAAGGCAATTTTAATGCCGACCGCAACACGAGTGCTTGGGCCTAGTGCGAGGCTGTTGCGGTGGTGGTGGCGGCGGAGGTGCCGAGCCACAGGTGGGCATTTTTGAAAAACAGCAAGGATCGACGAGACCACGTTCGTCGAGGCACATACCGAGACACGGTCCTCGAGGACAACCCAGCGGTGGACACGAGATGTTGCAAAACTCTGGCTCCATTTTTCTATAACAATTGCATATTATTTTCTTCGTTATCTTTTTTTAATTCCGTCATATGAAAATAATGTCAGGTCTCACGTTGATCGCAGCTGGCACAAAAGATCGCGCAGTTCCCTCATGTAGTTGCGATTCTTGTTCGAGTGGCTCATTGTTACTGGAATTTTTTTTGTGGTTGATTGACCTACACACTGGTAATTTAGATTTTCACGTCAACGTCGTGAAAAGTTTTGGCCGAAACTGAAGCAAATTAGAAAAAAAAATATAAATAAATAAAAGAAAGCTTGCAAGCACATTCATGTGACAGTAAAAAAAAAAAGCACCAACTTCAAGTATTGGGCTCTATCACGACTTTCGATATCTCGCAAAAGTCAGTATTTTTTTCGATAATTTACATAAAATTAAAAATTATGGTTGTGCGCATGCGCAGTATAAAAATTATCGAAAAAAATACTGACTTTTGCGAGGTATCGAAAGTCGTGATAATCGACATCGAGAAGAATCGAGGAGTTGGGCTCGCTGATGAGCAATCGATCTCAGAGGCGCTCTCTCGAACATTAGAACGAGAAAGAAATAAAAAACAGAGAAGAGTTCAATCGTTGACCCGAGCCGGGTTCTGCTAACGAGCTGCATTTAAAACCACGCGGAAGTGCGAAACAAAAAGACTCCGGCTTTCTAGTAACTTCTACGAGGTAAGTAGGCCAAAGTATAGGTCTTGCTACGCACCGATCGGCTCATTAGTTTTGATTTTAAACTCGAATGGTTACGGTCGCTTACGCACATCTTAGTGTCTAAGTAGTTAAGAATTTTTCGCGAAATTTCTAGAAGGTGTCTCGTCGTTTTTTTCTTCATTCATTTTTTTGTTCTCAAAGCTATTTTGAGAGTGCGCTTCTGATTTTTCTTACTTTTTCCTCTTTCACTTATTTCGCTCAATTCGATAACCATATATATGTACATTGTGACAATAATTTCATTTGCTACTGCTTGCAGATTACGTGCATAGTGTAATATAATTGGATTAGGGTTCAGTTGAAAACTATATTCATATAATTTAAGTGCAATATATTATTAGCGCTTTGTATACTTATTCTCTTTATGCAGATGGCTGTCGACATTACGCGAGAGAAGGATGGAGGAGTCCTCAAGGAAATCATCAAGGAGGGCACTGGAGATGATACTCCAGGAGTTGGAAGCTTTGTTAAAGTGCATTACACTGGCACTCTGTTAGATGGCACTAAGTTTGACTCAAGTAAAGACAGAAATGATCCATTTGAATTTGATCTGGGCATGTCACAAGTTATCAAGGCGTGGGATGTTGGTGTCAGGACCATGAAGAAGGGAGAAGTGGCAATACTAACTTGTGCACCAGAGTATGCCTATGGAGCAGTTGGCAGTCCTCCGAAAATTCCTCCCAATGCAACTTTGAAATTTGAGGTATATTTTTGTAAAGTTTTACGAAAAATTAATTATTTTTTTATTTTTGTTTATTTTCTTGAAGCTTTAACATTTTCATATTCTATGAGTAGATTGAAATGATTGACTGGATTGGAGAAGATATTACCCCTGAGAAAGACAAGGGTGTTACAAGAGATCAAATCAAGGAAGGTGAAGGATTCTTAACGCCATCATCTGGTGGATTAGTTGATGGTATGTATTGACCCTTAAGATAGACATTTTTTTTTTCATAAGGGAAGCTTAAAAAATTTAATAAACTATTTTAGTTCACATTACTGGAACTTACAATGGTCGAGTTTTTGATGACAGAGACGTGAAATTTACGATGGGAGAAGGTGAAGCTGAGAACATTGTTAGTGGTATTGAAATAGCCTTAGAGAAATTCAAGAAGGGAGAGATCTCGATTTTGAAAATAAAAAGCAAGTACGCTTTTGGTAAAACTGGCAGTGAAGCATTTAATATTCCGCCGAATGCCGATATAGAGTACAAAGTTGAACTGAAGAATTTGGAAAAAGGCTTGGATGTTTGGTCTCTTGACGAGCCTCAGAAGGTTGAGCAAGCCAAAATGTTCAAAGACAAAGGAACAAACTATTTTAAGGACAATAAAATTAATTTAGCTATCAAAATGTACCAAAAAGCCATTGAGTACATAAATACTGACTATGGCTACAACGATGAATTGTTAAAAGTGAGAAATAGCCTTTTACTCTCTTGTAATTTGAATCTCGCGCTGTGCTTCCTCAAGAACAAGAGTCCCTTTGAAGCCAAGGAAGCTGCCACCAAAGCCTTGGAAGTGGATCCTAAGAATGAAAAGGCTCTTTTCAGAAGAGGACAGGCCTTGTTAGATTTAGCATTGGCTGAGCTCGCTGTCAAAGACTTTGAAGAGGTCTTGAAAATCGAGCCTAAAAATACAGCCGCGGCGAAACAAGCACTTGTTTGCAAAAATATGATCAAAAAGGACTTGGCCAAAGAGAAAAAGTTATATGCAAATATGTTCGAAAAGTTTGCAAAAGAAGATCAACAGGTTCGTAATTAAATTTATCATTAAAAATCCTCCGTACCATTGTGGATTCCCTTAAAAAAAAATATTACGGCTGCTCAAATGGAGATATATCTATTTTTGGTGAACAGGAAACCACAGTACCATAAAATGATAAAGTAGAATAATCGGTTTTACACTGCATTCATCCTGTAGACCCTTGATTTAAAAAACGGTTTGTGAACTATTTTTTAAGGCTTTCACATGGTGTTCGTGATAAGATATTTTGTGGTCTGATAACATGTATGAAAAATATCTCTTTGGCTCGTGTAATCTTTTTTATTTGAATTCAAGTAGTTGAAACCCATCATTTTTAAACATACACAATACAAACGCGCAAGCGTTGAGATCCTGTGCGCTTTACCAAAAAATTTTAGTAAATATGTGCAGAAAGAGGAAGAGGAAAAAAGCAAGTTGCCGGACGTGATGCGTGGCACGCTTGGTGAATGGTGCCAAGAGGAGCGACCAGGAGGCCGTGATGCCACAGCTTTCGAGAAGGAAAACCCTAACATACTGATGCTCAATGCCAATGGCACTGGTGAATTCAAGAACATGTGAATGTACTAAACTGCCCTTCCCGTCAATCAAATTTCTTCCTATTCAAAGTGGACCTACATGACTGAATGATCGTTCATTATTTGAAAAAATTCAACATAACTCACAATTATCAGCGTTTTTATATAGTTGCCGTTTAAAAAAAAATTATTAGTTTTGTTGCTAATCGCTTGAACGTTATTGCATTTATAATAATTAATTTTAGTTATCTTCTAAAAGGGTAATTTTAAAAGTCTTACTGAATTTTGGTATTTATACCAAAAGTATCATTTTCGTATTGAAAACAAAATCTCAACTTAGTTTTCTACAGTTTCTCGTATATTCCATGTTCTGGAATAGAAAAAAAATAATTTGTGCAGTCAAGCATTTCCATGTGAGACAACGCAATACAGTGTAAACACAGTTGTGATGTGTTAAAATCACTTATCAAATGCCTTAGTTTTTTTATAAAAAATAGTTGGTATTCAATAAACTATAACTTTTGTAATTACATCAATAAAATTGATTTTTATTACATCGTTTATCTTGCTTATTTTAATCCAATGTAAATGATTTGATGGTAAGCGCATTAATAAAATGAATAATACTTTGAATAAAAATGTTTCTTTTTTTTTCTTTCTCCTTATAACCTTCTACGAAGCGCGCGCTGTATTGTAGTCGTTGTAGGAGATCTATAGGTACTTTTGTAGGGGCTGCGTTGCATATATAGTAATTCGTTTCGTTAGATTGGTAACAAATTCAGATTTTCAAAGATGGCCGCGTCCCCTTGACGTTTTTGTGTACACAACAAATAACGTCGGCATCGGGGTGAAGTGTCATTGTTGCAAACAAAGTATTATACTTTTATCAAAATAGTTACCAATAATAATGTATTTGTCAATGATTAAAGTAAACAAAGTGCACAAATATTTGTTGACCAGCAGATTAAAATTACTGCATGTGTGCCCTTGATGGACAGTAGATTGGCTGTATAGATGGTAAATATGATTGATCGATTGAATTTTGAAAATTGATGAATTAGAGTGAGTTTTTTTTTCGATGCAACAATGCTTTTTTGCAGGATGTGTATGTAAAAATGTGTTTTTTATACAAAAAAACTCGAAGCTTTATGAAGTGTACAGTAGAAAAATGAGTTTTTAAAAAGATCGTTGGATCGGAAATTTTAGTAATTTATTACAGTGGATACATTTTAATTTCAAATAAACTATCAAGATGAGTAATAATAATGATGATTACAGTATCGCGGGGCGATACCGAACCGTGAGAAAGCATTTGGATGACTTGGGATACAGACAAGCACTTTCGCTTGATTCTTTACCTCTGATTGAGCTTCTGCTGGTTGATTTAGCTCAAACTAGAGAATCCCTAAAGCATTTTCAGTGCTTGGCTAAAGAAAACTTACAGGTTTGTCTATTTATATTTTATTCGATACTTGTTGCATTAAAACTTTGCTGTTTGCTTAATTTATGATATTTTTTTTATTGTTAGACGTGTAATGAACTGCAATCAGCAGTAGATCCGTACAAGTGCGACAATGCAAAATTGGTTCAAGAATGTAATGAAACTCATTTGAAATTGTTAGAAGCCAGAGAGGCGCTTGTAAAACAAAGCAATGAGCACAAAAAAAAAGTTAGAAAATTGGAAAGCGAATTGAGCGACTTGCAGATGTCCTATTCAAAAAATTTTGAGAGGATAAAGATGCTAGAGAAAGAGTCTGCAAATAAATCGAAAAGAATCTCAGAACTTATGGGAAGGTATACCAAGCCAATTACGAAAAATCCAAGTCTAGGTAACTATTGACTTATTACTCTGTACATTTATTTATAACATGTATTATTTGTAAAATTCAAATTTTTAGCAACAAAAAAGCGTCCCACATTCCCATTGAAAAAGTCAGATCGGGAAACTGATTTTTTCTCAGAAAAATTAGCCTTCAACAAAAAGAACGTTGAACCTTGTGTGGTTGATTTTATCGACATGGCTGATCGTAGGATAAGAACCTTGACCAATGAAATATCAAAACTAAAGGAAGAATCGTTTTTGAGCAACGAATACTCGGAAACACTAAAATTACAGGTACAGGAGTTCATTAAAACTTGATTCAATCTGATGTTTCATTAACATCTATATTATTAATATAATAAAAATTTATCAACATACAATATGAAAATTACAGCTTGATGCGAGGAACAAAGAAATTTGCCGTCTGAGAAAGCTATTGGAAGGTGGAAGACCGTGTACCTCCATAAGTCAGGATCATTGCCTTTTAACGTCGAACAAACGATGCCTGGAAGCCAAGGAACTAGAGGAGCTGCAGGAAGCTAAACTCAAGCTGGAGCAGCAGCTCAGGGAGTCTCTGACCAAACAGCACGAAGCAATGGCTCAGGCTGTTAAACTTGCCGAACGCAATGAAGAACTTGAGAGGGAACTCAGAGATATCGATAGACAAGCCCTTGCCCGGGAAGCTGATTGTAATTCGACGGTGAAACATAATAACAAACGCGTCTGTAAGCTTCAGGTGCGACCAGAGTTTTTGATTTTCATTACTTAAAGAGAGGGTCGTTGGTTGATGATTAAAACGAATTCTGCATTTCAGGAGAAATTGGATAACGTCATGACGCGAGTTCACACGCTCCAGAACGAATTGACGATGCAGCGAAGGGAAGCGCAGGAGTTGAGAGCGGATTTGGAAGCTTGCAGGCTAGAGAAGAGCAGCGTTCAGCGACTACTTGAAAACACTCTCGAGGAAAAGAAACATATGACGGATAGGATAAATAATTTAACGATGATGGGTACGTATGGAGTTTTAAGGATTTTATTTGGTGCATGTGTAAAACTCGTCTTTTGCTTACGGATCTTGTAGAATCGAGCGAATTAGCTGCTGAAATCGATAAACTTCGGGATGACAACGATTGGTGGAATGGTAAAACTCGGAACGTAGTTGAAAAAAGTAGATTAAACGTAGAAAAGAAAAAACAATGTAGCAACATTGGTGAAAAGGGGCAATCTAAGTCGGCAACGTTGAAAAGTAGTGAAGCATGCAGTAGTTGTAAATCGAGAGAAAAGGATGGAAAAGCCGAGGCTAATGCGCGGGCTAAATTTGGTACATTAACGAAAAATATTGAATTTCAATCAGTGGTGTTTTTCTTTCCAAATCAATAAAATAATTTTTAACTCTTTTAAAGCGTCAAAGAGTACCGAAAAGTCTAGCAGTCATGAACATAGTAGTAATAAAAATGAGTGTCACTGTCACAGAGGATCAAGGGATAACATTTCACACAGCAATTTCGAAGTCATTCACGATAAAAATGTGATGATAGAATCGGTATGTTTTTTCATCATCATCAAAGCTATTAGAATTAAAGTTACAAATATTTCATGGTGTTGTATTTTTTTTCAGTTACGCAACAACATAGAGAAGCTAGAGTTGGAGCGCGATTTCTACAAATCCGAATACGTGAAAATCAAGGACCAGTTCAGAAAAGATTTCGAAAAGGACAGCGTAAGGATAAAACATTATTTTCACTGATGCTGCAGTTTTCCAAAATTAAATTAAATTAAATTTAACACGAGCAGGATAACATGTGGTCGCAAATCTGCGAGCTGCGGGAAAAAATGAGCGAAAAGGAGCACGCCATATCGAAACTTTTGCGCGAAAAAAAGGATCTGTGCCGAGAAAAGTTCGATTTGGAAAACAAATTGCAGACTCAACAAGTGACCTCGTCTACGTATCCGTGCCCGTGCAGGAGGTCTCTCTTGATCGACGATCGTAGCATCAATCTGAGCAGCAAGGTGAGAACCTTTTTTTTATTCTCAGATATGAAAAAAAAATTTTAATCGAAACATTTGTGATTTGTAGGTGGAAAAATTAGAGCTGGAAAAGGATAAGCTAAGAGCCGACGTCGAGAGGTTGATAGAAGAAAGAAACTCGCTGCGCGAACGGCTTCAGGTGATACTGGAAGAAATTAATTTTACCATTTCGGCTCCTTTGCAAATCCATTCCATGTACGTTCGTACAGAAAAGTCCTCAGATCCCTTGGGCTCGCATGCGGTTTCCATTAAAATTCATACAATCAACACCCTTGTCCCGTAGACCGTATCAAACGATATCTCATCCCGTTCCTTTTGTCTGTCTTTTCTCGGTCGACTGGTTGGTTTCTGCATGTTTTTGGCGAACCCCTTCGCTCTTAAATAATATTCCTGCACGCGTGTGACGAAAAACGGGGGAAAAAAAAAACACCGCGTAGCTGGCGACGAAGGCTCACGTCGCTGAGCATCGTCAGCTGCGCGACAAACTCGACGAAATGGAGCTGCGTCTGGCGCGTACTGAGCGAGAACGCCGGGAACTTTTGATTGCGCAGGAGGGCAGACGAGCAGCCATCAGCGGTCTCGACGATCAGCTCGAGGATCTCAGGGAGGAACTGAAAAGGACCAAGCTGGAGCTCACCGAGCAGCGCACTCAGTACTTCCAGCTGAGGTAAGCTGTGTACTTGATGTTGTTACTGATTAGTGAATATATTGGTGTTGTTATTTCCTCGCATGAATATTGGTGTTATTTGTTTTTATTAGGTCTTTGCAAGACCAAACGGACCAGGCTTTGGGTGACGTGCAGCGTCAATTGACTGACTGCGAGAATGAATTGACGAGCGCTCTTGATAGGAACAAGTGTCTGGAACGCCAGCAATTGCAGCTCGAGAATGAAATCAAGGAACTCAGGCAAGAGATCAATAACCACCGATCTCGCATGGCCCAGATGGACCGGGAGAAAGATCAGTTGCTGGTGAGCAGGCGTTGTTACTGTAGATTTGAAATCTTTTATCCAACATGTCGAGATACACGCGATCAAAAGTATCGATTTATTGTTCAAGGAATAATTGCATTTTAAATTTATTAAATTACAATTTCAATCTTTGATCAATGCTCTTTTAAAAATCAGATGGATTTGGACGAGAGGACGGAAAAGATAGCTGCTCTGGAGAGAGAACTAGCTTTCAAGGAACAGCAGGCCAGCAGTATGGAGCAACAGATTCGCGATCTATCGCACACGAAGCAGTGAGTTTTTTTTTACAGTATAAATTTATTCAATAATAATAAAAATGACAACATATCACTCGATCGACATTTCATTTGGTTTTATGAATTATCGAGTATAATTGTACAAATCAATTGCAAGAAGAAACAGTCTTTATTAGGGTAAAAAAAAAAAAAAAAAAAAAAAGTTACACACAAGTATATACAATTTATTTGAATGAGTAATAAATTAAAAAATACTCGAACTCTTCATCCGCTCGACAAAGATCGGCGACGCACTAGGCACCCCCACTCGATCGATCATATTTATAGTCCAACGGCGAACTATTTTACACAAACCGATGCCCGGCCAACTATTCTTACAACTCAATATTACTTATTACAATTTTTTTTTTTTTAATTATGTACACATATATTTAATTAGATTAATTGTTAAATTGACTTTGCACAGTCACAATAATCATCGAGTTCACACATAGGCCATTTTTTTCCGCAAACGACAATGACACTTTGTCAAAGAACTCGAAATTCATTGCTTCTCCCTCTATCTCTGTTATTGTCCGTACACACGATAAAAAAAAAAAAAAAAAAAAAAAAGAAGAGTCTATTCGTTGACTATAAATGAGCGATCGTCAACGAAACAACTCCATCACGCGTACGTTGTATTCAAAGTTTGCGCATTCCGAGGAGCAAGGAGATAAAGAAGAAGAAAAGTCATTATAATCACAGACCAACATCATCAACAACAACAACAACAAAAACGAAAAAAAACACTCAACAGGTAGGGTGACAACCTTAGAACCTGGCAGCCCTGGCGTTCTCGTTCAAGAACTTGGCGATCCCAACGATGGGTGCCTGACACTTGCCGCTCACCGTCGTCAGCAGACCGTTGCTCTCCAGCTCGTTCGTCCTCGTGTAGCCAGGCCTGCACTCGCAACGCGCCTTGGGCAGCACGTCCGAGCCAACTCCCTCGGCGAGTTCGGCCACCCGGGGCGTTCTCCGCGCCACCAGCCACTCGCCCTCCTCGCACGGGCCCCTGGTGTACAGCTTGTAACACGTGCCGTTGTTCATCATAACGACGCCGGGCTTGTCCTCGCAAGACGACGACGACGACAGAGTGCCATTGACAAGGACAGCGTCGGTCCCGTCGTTGTCGCGACACCGGCCGGAACTCTTGAGCGAGCTCGTGCACCCGCACACGCCGTTGTAGCTGATCCCATCGACCGACGGACTGGCGCTGTAGTCGTAGAGGACGATCTGGCCGTGCGAGCAGGGATCTCGCGATCCAATTTTGTAGCACGTGCGCTCGCGCGGGAAGTAGAGCCGGCCACGGCGGCAGGGCACCGGCACGCAACTCGTGGCGTTGGCGAGCATGTCGCCCGGCTCACAGGGCCCCTTGGTGTACAGCTTGTAGCACAGCCCGTCCTCGTACCGCACGTAGTTCGGCTTGCAGCTGCAGCCCGCGTGCGCTACCCTACCCTCTTCCTCCTCCTCCTCCTCGTTGGAGGCGTTGTGGTGCGGCCGCATGACGAAGCGATGCCCCGCCGGGCAGGGACCCGGTCCACCTGTTGAATCGCAAACACCCCCAACCGTTAATCCCCACCTGCACTGTCGTGTTTGTATAATCATTGGTGATCAAGACTCACCGAGCTGGTAACACATGCCGGTGGGGGGATAGTACTCGAGCATGTCGGGTCGACAGCCGCACTTGCCCCCGGGCAGGAATAGCTCGCCGGGCTCCTGGCACGGGCCCCTGGTGAAGTGCTCGTAGCAGCCAGCCGCGACTGGGGCGTAATACTTGCCGAGCTCGCCCTCCCGGGAGCAGGAGCACTTGGCCAGTCCGTCCTCCCTGTCGAGGATCAAGAGTTCACCCTTGGGACAGGGTCCGCGCGAGTGTCGCGGGTAACACTTGCCGTCCCGCGGCCAGAACAGGTCGTCGGGGGCCGGGCACGACTCGGACTCTCGGCACACTCCCCAGCGTTTTTTCGCGCTGCTGTTGTTGGGAAGGCGATATTTAACGATCGATCGATAAGGGTATAGTAAAAGTTCGACACTTTAATGGTAGGGGGGGGGGGGACAAACCTCGTTGGCTTGGCGAGTGGCTCGGGCACGGGTGCAAAGTAGTGGCCCTTGGGACAGGAGGCCCGCGTGAAAATCGGATGGCATTGGGCGTCCCTGGGCGATTGGGCGGTGCCGGGCGGACACCTGCACTCGGCGCGGGTCTCGCTGCCCACCGCCGACGGTCCCAGCTCCATAGTCTCCGGGCATGGTGCCCCGATCTGCCGGTTGAAAATTAAAATTAAAAGCCTCGAGCGACTGATCGGTATCATGGTATAGCGATCGCTTCCTTTCCTCTCGCGAGCTCGTGCATATATATTGTATACACTATTAAAATGAAAAGAAAAACCAACAGGTGGCTCCTACCTGGAAGATCTTGTAGCACTTGCCGTCCGCGGGCCAGTAGAGCAGCTGCCAGCCTCGGGGTTGCGTGGCGCAGGGATTGTTGATCGGATCGGCCCAGGGCGGTGGTATCAGGGCCGCGCTCGCCCAGACGAGCAGCGACGACAGGACGATTAAAACTGCCGGCTCCCTCCGCCGCGTGCTTTTCGTCACATGTCGACAAATACATCATAGACGTTAACGTCCGTTTAAAAATGAATATACTATATATTATATTAGGGGTGATTCGAAAGACGAGGCCATATATTATAGTGTACGTGTGGCGCGAAAATCGAGAGCACAGTCTGCGAGAGAGCGAGCCAAGTAGAGAGAGAGAGAGAGAGAAAAAAAAAGGTTGGAATGAAATGACCATATTATATGGACTTTCACTGTTTCGCAGCGGAATGGCAATGGCATTGTCCCTGAGAGATCCGGGCCGGCGATCGCGCCGAGACTGCCGATACATACATGCATATATTTCCGTTGCGCGAAATACCAAACTGTATATATATGCGTGGGTACATATGTATATATATATTTATCTAAATCACAAATTGCGTGCCGGAAAAGGTATGCTCTCTTTTTTTCAATCGATCCACCAGGGACGCTTGGATTGATCGATACACCTCGAAGATAATCGAACGATAAGTATTATTTATTATATACAGAGGCGCAGATAAGAACGCAATGTATGCGCGTGCTTTACTCTCTTTTTTTCATTCTCCAAATATCTTTTGTTGCCGCATGCCAAATGCACAGTCCAACGAAAGTGATAAGGCTCATGCAAATACTTTCACGTTCAACGTATAATATACACACGGGAGCCATGCAGTTGTAATACACTTTATTTTTTTGTCCGCAAATTTCACTTTTTACCGCCGATAATAGTCTCCCTTTCCAATGACTTATTATATTAATTTTCTCGTTCCAAGTTATATATGTATAGGTACCTAATACTCGTGCGCGTATACGCCAATGATACTCATTAAAAAGGCAAAGTCGGTGTATGAAAAAAAAAAAAAAAAATTCCCACTACCCTTGAAACCGATACGAGCTGGGGGTATATAATTATCTGCGCACAGCAGCTTCAAAAGCTCCTCCACGTATGTAACGCGCCACGAGCTTTCTCCGTGAATGGGTGCGTGCGTCCGCGAAATAGTTGACGCTCTCCGAAGCGAACAAGAGAATCCAAAAATTCGTGCAAACGTACTACGTAGATATTGTCTCGCAAAAAGAGAGGAGGTCCTATGCAACCGCGGCTGTAATATACAGATCCTACACACGCGTGCGTGCAACCGACTCTCGCTTTCACTCTCTTGGCGCGAAGGAGACCGTGATACTTATATGTTTCAACGCCCATCCAATAACTCTTGCACCCTCGAGTCTATTTATATATATATATATGGATTCTCGTAAAATATGTTCGTCACCGCGTTGTCGGCCCTGCTGACCCGAACCGGACGCGTGCGAGGGAGGAGCACAGTCCATACTGCAAACGAACGATTCCGCAAAAGTTGAGATTAACGTGTATACGAAAATACAGGATAATTGGTGGACAAACATCGGGGGCTTCACAACAAAGTTACACAATGTTTTTCGAACTCGCGTGACACCCATTTACGGAAAAACTCGAAGATGCGCAAAAAAAAAAAAAAAAAAAAAAAAAGCCCATTGACCGTATTTGGGAGGGATTCCGTCTTTTTCGCGGAGTAGCTCGTGTACGGGCGTTCGTCCTTCCCCCGGTGCGTCGCCGGACTCGTCGAAGGTCAGCTGTAAAACACCACGCGCGGGTGAAAGTAAACGGCCCTGCGTATATATGTATATATCTACACGCACTTTGTAATTATTCGTCAATTTCGAAGCAATAGCAACCGATTCGTTGGCTCTTGCTTGTCCCTAAACCATAACTGCGTACAACATCGGTTGGCCTTAAATGTACCCGCGAGAGAAATCGTCCGCTGCTGTACAGATGGGTATACCTGCTTGAAAAATCACTAGGATTTGCATTTGATTGCGAGAAAGGGAGAGCCATCGATGTATTCGTCTTTAGCCGAGTTTGAGCCCCGCCGGAGTTAGGGGGGGGAGATCATTTTGCATCTAATGCGACGCGTATACAGACTCTCGATGCTCTCTTTTCTTTAGAGATGATGCATCGTTGCGAAAAGAAGAAAAGGTAAAAGAGACTCGTTGACTTGAGGAGAAACACAAGCTGTTACGCAACGAAAAAAAACACGATTGATTGTACACATCTGTAATTCTCTCGGGCGAATGAAATGATAACAATAAAAGAACTTGACGCCAAAGGAGGTATAGGTCGATGGGCAGAGAAGCCGTGGCGCCTCAAACTCCGCCGCGTTCAAGACAATAATTATATTTCGCGCTCGCGCGTTTATATACGTGTAGATAATAGATCTGCTCTCACTTTCTTCCGTATTATATGAAGCACCAGCAGTTATAACCTACCGCGTCAGGAGGCGCTCGCACGAAAAACGTGTAATTGCCAGAGAGACACCCGGAAAAACATGTACAGATATATCCGATGTGTGGACTCTTTTTTTCCGTAATTTGTTTCTTCTACGTGTATGATAACTCGGGGTTTCACGTCCATAAACGACCGCGCGCTCGCGGACCTTTTTTTTACCTCACCGAAGCTGATGTCGACTCAACGGTCGGGCTTGTCTTGCGAGAGAATCGCTAATTTGGCCGGCTAATCCTCGCGACGCGTGAAACGATCAACTTTTTTTTTTTTTTTTTTTTTTTTTTTTTTTTTTTTTTTCATCACAAAACTCTCGACTGTCTTTTCTTTTTTCCATTATTATTATCATGTTTGTTTACAAAATCACACGTGTGCACAAAATGTTTGGTTAAAACGGCCGGAATAATGGCAAAATGTTCAGTCCGTTGCCATCTCGATGCCGGTAACAGCTGCACGCGATCGAAACTAGTGACGTGTGAGAAAGTATAAGTACACGTGTAATATGTACGAGCGAGCCGTGCACGGGTCCGTCGCCGCATCACGGGCGCGCGTGAGAAACAAGGCGTACGATGTTGGGTGCTGCACCCGCTGTAAGCGCAACGCGAGGTATAATTGCACTTTTGCTTTTTATTCTCCATAATGTACTCGTATACCTACTTGTTTGTTTATCGAGCTAACGGGGAATTATTGTATAAGAGAGAGAGAGAGAGAGAGAGAAAAAAAAACACGACCTCATTGTTTCATCAAACACAGGTTACATCGCTCCCCTGTCGCAAACCTAACTTTTTTTTTTTTTTTTTTTTTTCCCCATCACCAACAACCGTATAATTTTGTCAACTCACATATATTTACGTCGGTTAATTGCACGGTCTTGGCATTTAATTTTTCCCTAATCACGAAAAGCGGAAAATTTCAGGCCCAAAAGCACGAAAAAAATACCGGGAGCCTTTGGTGCACGAGAAAACGGAGCGACGGCTCATTGTCTTTCGCGTTAATTATGATGTCGGGATTCTGTAACTGAGACAGACGTGCCATTAACGAGTATTGCTCTAACACGTACAGTATAGCTTATACGGCTTCTCTTCCTGGCCGCTCTTTTGTTTATTCTCGATGTGATTGTTCGGGTTATCTGTGACAGACGTACCTGTACAATCATTGGTACATCTGAAAAAAAAGTCTCCAAAACAGGAAAAAAAAAAAAAAAAAAAAACGCAATTCCCGGGAGCGTATGTACGGACCTACATCTCGAAAGAGGCGAAAAACCGGATCGCCTAACGAGCGCCTGCGTGCCCGTATTACGGCCAAAGTGGGCGAGAATAATTCGCGTGCCAAGTGATGATGGACGAAAGAACCGGGCGCCAGGGAATGCGGCGCTCGAGGTATCGCGATCGGACGGCGCTCTTGTGTAATCGAGGTGTTTCGAAAAATCGGTATTATGATGATGATCGGCGGCAGGCCCGGAGCGAGTAAAGGATCTTTTTTTCCTTCCCATTTTCGATGAAACGGCAGGTAAAGCTTTTCATCGAGTTTTGCCAAAGTACTAGTTTCGGGCGATTTTATCGGCAAAATAAATTGGGATTTCGAGTTAGTTGTCCACACAGCGAAGGTAAAGTATATAGATCGACCGATTCCGTCGAAGAAGCATCATTACCCGATGATTAAAAGTCGCGCTTACGTAATACCCATCGAGTCCTCATCGAGCGATACAGGTGGGAGAGCACCGTTTGAAAAAACCATCGGACCCCTAATTGGGACTTATCTAACCTCCTCGCACTCGAGACCCATAATTGGATCCGATGCGGTCCCCCGATTTTCAAGCTCCGACAACAGAAAGAGATACTCGAAACAAAACCAGCACCGCGAGTCGTGGGACGAGGATAATTTAATAAGCACGCGCGTAACATCTGCACCGAGACGGGGATGCGCCGCGATAATCACGTGTGTTTGTCTGCGCGGTCGCATTGTGCGTTATGCTTTCCGCAACAGCGACGTAATAAGCTCCACATCTGGTGCGAAAAAAATTCTCATACCGCCCTGTCATATGTTACACGCGCGCGTCCCGAGTCCTATTACAGGCCGCATTGTGATGAAATCGGTATCGCGTACGTTTTTTCCTCGTTACATATACTTTCCCACGAGCTCGAATTTATTTATTTCACTCCACAGTTTTACTACACGGGCGACACGCTAATTACAATCAAATTATCCCCTGCCGATTTTTCGAGTACCGATATCGGTGATCCTATAGCCAGCTAGTATACGACTATCTTGTAATTCATCCGACGTTTCGCAACTCAAACTTTCACGCTCGCGCGAATCTCTTTTTTTTACTTTTCGAGTATTGAAATTTCGAGAAATCGGCAGAAGAAAAAAAAAAAAAAAAAAAAAAAAAAAAAAAAAAAAAAAAAAAAAAAAAAAAAAAA